TAAAGAAGATCTGGGGGAGGAAGAAAAGGTGGTGGAGGAGAATGTGGAGAGCGTGGAGGAGTCTCAGTTGGAATCTGTAGGAGTGAGAACGGTGAGGAAGACGAAACGAACGAAACAAGGGAGAGGAGACGAAGACACCATGAATCAGATGAGAGTGAACTCTGTTCTGGAGTCCAACCCGGCAATAGAGAGATACTGCTACGATCACCAGCATGAACTCTGGTGTGAGGTCAGTTTGTATGTCGTACACAAGCACATTAAAAAAAGGTTTTAGGTGGCTTCACTTGAACATTAGATTTTAGATTAGACTAAACCAGCAATGAATCATACTAATAATAAGTATTAACTGTGTAGCCACATCCTTCTAACTTTGTGTCATACAACCTCTCTGTCCTCTAAAAACTTAACACATAAAGCATGGTTCTGATACACTGAGCTCTGCCATGTAAAGGCTCTTATACACTCGCCGTTCCCGACCTGTAGCGCGACAATGTGACGTCACGAGTCTCGATTTCTCGCCATGAATTCTGGCACCTGAAGGATTGTACAGATGCCTGTAGAGGCTCACTTGATCGGAAAGCTTGCCCTCGAACTCCTCCATCTTCCTGTCTCCGCTTTGGCGCTCTCAGCTGAAAAAAAAAGAGTGGTGTGCGACAGTGTATAAGAGCCTTAACAGTGGGTCTTACAGTAAATACGCCTGCTGTAAATGTACTGCAGTTCTTGTACCTCGCACCTAACTGCACGCATTACCACATGACTAAGCATAAGCTGGCAAATCTTGAAATCTTGTTTCGTCAAGACACCGAGCGGGAAATTTAGCTGGCCTTTTTTAAAATGCGACCAGTCAACAGATAATATCTCCCTGCATCCTGTTACACATTTGTCTTTCCTGCAGATATGAATCACATTGTAAAGCACGTTTCAACAAGGCAATTCAAAGTGCTTTATGTAAACATAACTTTTTATACTGCAACACAATCCAGTGTAAAAATACATTTAAATACAATTTAAAAAAAAATAAAAAATTTAAACTAATTAGAAAATGATAGTACAAGACTAATACAAGTGAGTTATCCCCATCTCTTCAGTTTCTGCTCTTTTGCCTGCCCAATTCAAACAAAAAAATGAAATGAAATGCTGGTTCTCATAAGGCAATTTATCTTTTTTTAATTGGTAACTGTAGCTATGCTTTACTGTTGCTGTCCTTACCTAGAGTTTGATACTGGTTAATTAATTTGAGAGCATTTGAGATTACTGAAATTATATGAATGGCCACATACCAACCAATCACACAATGTCCTCTCTGTCCTCTGCTGGTTTTAAACAATGCAAACTGCATCTTCCAGATGACTCCCTCATCAGGTTGTTATTTAAACCTTGACCCCTTCGTCCCCGTTCATAGGTCCATCTGGTGTTGCCAGTGAGCAAGGTGCACTTCGACCTTACTTCAGTCCTGTCAACTCTGGCCCAGAATGCAGTCATCATGGAGACCAGAGGCTTGACACGCTGCCTGCTGAGCGAAACCACCACAAAGACGGGAGAGAAAGAGACTGTTCTCAACACAGAAGGCATCAACATGCACGAAATGTTCAAGCACAGTGATGTACGTACACATTGTTGGTTAACGAGTGAGACAGTTTTGTCTTTAGACTTGAGACTTGAGACTACACTGTGGTTTTGAAGGTTCAGTGTGTAACATTTAGGAGGATCTTTCGGCAGAAATGGAATATAATATTTCATAGGTATGTTTTCATTCATCATTTATAATCACCTGAATACAAGAATTGTTTTCGTGACCTTAGAATGAGCAGTGTTTATCTACAGAGGGAGTGGCTCCTCTCCTATGCAGTTTCACGGCCTCCATACTTTCTCCTACATGCTTAAACGGGAGGGTGAGTCGAGGGGGTTGCAGTCTGCAACTACACCCCTAGAGGCCACTAAATCTTACACACTGGTCCTTTTAAGTTGGTTGTGCAAAAATGTGAATTCCAGATATTGAACTTGTCATATTTCCAAATTAAATTATAATTTAAAAGATAATTATATTTATTTTTTTAAATCTCTGGAATATAGTAGCAGATATTAATGAGAGTTTTTGGGAAATTGTTTTAATATTGAATCCTTGCAGTGGATTCAAATCAGAGATCAAAGCAGATATTTGATTAGAGTTTATGTCATGTTTGGTGATAATCCCAACACTGAGACTGTATTTATTTTCTCCAGATCTTGGACATCAACAGACTGTACTCCAATGAGGTCCATGCCATGGCTAACACCTACGGGATTGAAGTGGCTCTGAAGGTCATAGAGAAGGAGATCAAAGACGTCTTTGCTGTCTATGGTACACTCCTACACACACACACACACACTTACACTCACACACACACTGTCTAAACCCACCAGACAACAGATCACAAGGCTGTCAGAACCACTCATGTTTTCTTTGTATTTCTCTGCCTTTCTAGGTATCGAGGTGGATCCCAGGCACCTGTCACTGGTAGCAGACTACATGTGTTTTGAAGGTGTATATAAGCCATTAAACCGACACGCCATGCGGTCCAACTCCTCCCCTCTGCAGCAGATGACCTTCGAGACCAGCTACAAATTCCTCAAACAGGCTACCATGCTCGGTGAGGAACGGACGATGATAATAATACGAAGACAAATAACTACACATAACAGAATGCAACAACACAAACACGTTTTTTCGCCATAAGTCAAGATTTGCTGCAGGAGTTATGACAAAATTGGTGTTTAATAGGCTACGACTGTGAAGTGACATTTTTTCTTACCCAAACGCTCAATGGTCAACTTCACTGTGACATGATTGTGTCCTTTTTTTGGCCATTGATCAACACCCTAACTCAGGAACAGGAGGGGAGAGTGTGACCATATTTCACAGTTGGTCAGACACTGAGTTGTTGCTGCTTTATGAAGGTCAAATTGTGACCTCAACATAGGCATGTAGCCATGATTTAAGAATGAACTGGGCAATAACAGATTTCACACACATGTGAGGCACACACAATGAGTAAACAACAGTACAGGCTTAAATCTTTCCACCTCATCCATTCTGCCTTTCACTTACTGCCTCATTCCGAATTTCCACCGACTGTAAACTACTTACTGAAGCGTGCCACAGTAATCATGAACCTGTGAGTGAGTGAGTGAGTGAGTGAGTGAGTGAGTGAGTTTTACTTACAGCTCGTAGAGAGGATTTGCAGAAAAAGACGAAAACTAAAGTATGACATTTTATTGAACTGTACTGTAGAAAGAATCCATCTTTGTAATGAAGTATGTGTACTAGTTTAGCCAATAGTTCAATGATCCAAATACCATCATTATAGTGATAACCTCGATTAGGCCAAAGACTTTCAACCTTATGTGAGGGATGTCTCAATCCGGTCTTAACGATCAGTATCGGCGCCGATCAGGGCATATTTTAATTGATAGGTATTGGCTTTACTGATCCGATCCGATCTTTTGTTTGAGGTCAGCTATCATTTACGGTAGCTGTTTTTACTCCAGAAGCTCTCATGCGCAGTGCAGCCATTGTCAACTCTCCGTTTTTTTTCTTTCCTCCACTCTTTCTGCCCCACCTGCCTGTGCTCGGAGGACGTAACAGTAGGGATCCGACACGACCACACTCAACACGCCACTGCCAGTGCAACAAAAAGTACTAAACTAACAGTAGTATGTGAGATCAGTGGTGTAAGTGAGTGCATGAGTGGAGAAGTGGATGTTGTAAGATGCAGCAACACAATCAAACCATCAAACCCAAGAACCAGTTAGTTGTCTTAAAGTACCTGCAAAGAAAACAAGACAAGCCACAGAGCCAGGAACAGGAAGACAAGGTGGAGCGGGTCGTCACAAGACCAAAAGATTACACAGGGTTTGATATTTTATACTTTATGTGAAAAACGAAATAAAAAACAGTACAAGCACTGATTTTAGGAACTTTAATGTACTTAAAGTGTGCAATGTGCACTGTATTATGTAAAAAAAAGTATTGGATCGGGACTCGGCAGGTACTCAATATTAAACCTTGATCGGGACAACATATATGGAACATATACGAGTCTCTACAGACACAAAAATAAAGTGCAACCTGACTGGCTAATGGAGGAATGCAATCACAAGATTGGTTATTCTTGTTTGTTCAGGTTTAATGACTGAGTCATACTTCACAGCACACAAGTGAATACTTTTATTGTCTTTATGTATTCATAGTGCTTTGAGAGGTGGAAACATTTTTGGATTTCCTGTCACAAGTCATCTTATTTACCCTTAGAGCCATCTAGCCAAAGTTTTTGTTCATGGCCGTTTCTCTTCCTTTTTCAGGGTCACACGATCAGTTGGTGTCCCCCTCGGCCTGCCTGGTGGTGGGGAAGGTCGTCAAAGGTGGAACGGGACTGTTTGAACTGAAACAACCCCTGCAGTAGGAGAGGGGACACCACAGTCAGCAGAAGCACAGTGGTTGGATGTGACGTAAGACCTTTGACACCATGACAGAGCTGAAGTGGATCCTCTCAGTTTTGCAGACACAAAACATCTATGACACCTAAATTTTCTGATAAAAATATTAAAAAGAAAAGATGCCTTCTTTTGGGTGTGACAAAATGAAAAATGCTTGTGTCTTGAAGAAAATTGTTCCTGAATCAACTGAAAACCAATGTAACCCAGATTTATATTTTAAAAAAATAAATAAATCATATTATAAAAGGATACATAGTGGGGAGTTTACAGGCACAAAAAACATAACAACATACCCACACATTTTTTTTTTTTTTTGTTTGTCTCTTTTGTATTTAACAATAAAATAAAACAAAAAAAAATAAATAAAAGTGTATAAAACTTGTTGTGTTTTTCTTTCTTTCTGCCTTTTATTTGAAACCTTCAGCGAGCACGCCGACGGGATATTTCTCTAGGGATGGACCACGGATCTTATTACGTAAAAAAACACGCCGGAAGTGCGGCTGAGTCTTGCGGCCGCTGATAGGCTGGTCAGCTCCAAAAGGGGGCGGTACAAGAAGCGAAGTCACAGATAAATTACCTCATTAGTTATTGTGTCGGGAGGACTCGTTATGGCGGAGCTGTGGAGCCCATGGAGACGTGAGTAAATAAGTCCATAAAGTGACGATGGAGAATCTTGTTTCAATTTTTTTTTTAATTAAACGGCGTAAAGTGCGTTTACGTTACCGTAGCAACGTTTGGCTAACCGTTACTGTCCTCGACGACCAACGGGCAAACAAACCGGGGTCTTTATCGGTGTTGCTGTCCGTCGTTTATCCAAACGTTGGGGCGGTTTGCTTCGGTAACGTTGTTCGTGAGTGTGGACCCGAACAACCTCCCTGCGGCGGTGCTGATAATAATAATAATAATAATAATAATATATATATTTAACGGTATCTAACAGTGTGGCACTGTACAGTACAGTGATTAATATAAAGATAAAACGTGGTATTAATTATTATTTTCTATTAATAACTATGTGAAGAGCTTTGTATTTATGAATAGAAAGTCTTATTAAAGGTTAAGTAACGTTACTGTGCAGTGTAAGAACATTTTTAGGTGTTTTTTACTTATTTTTTTAATGTTATTTACTATAATTAAAGGTACTATTTTACAGGTTAGACCCCTGCATTGAAAATGATACCTCAGTAAAAGTATATCTGTATAACTGGATCAAAATCCTCTTTTAAGTATTAAATGTTAAAAGCTGGAACCATTTAATGTTTTAATTAGTTGCAGATTAATTGTCGGTCATTGATTAATTGGTTAATTGGCTAATAGTTTCAGCTGTCTTTGTATAAACTGTTGGTTCTTCGTGTGTTTTGTGCGTAAAAATCTTAATTTGTAAGTAAAGTAAAAGTATTTTCCTGTTTTATTAATATAGCAGAGTACAAGCAGGAAGTGGCGAGAAAATACTCAAGCACATGTACAAGTACTTTAGTACACTACATTAAAATGCTGCCTCTATCTTAATGCATCAATAATAATAATAATAATAATAATACATCTAATAATATAACATGAACACTCTGCAAGGAGCCATTCTGCACAAAAAGTACTCTTACTTTTGATACTTTTGTCTATTTTCCTTTTTTAATATGTGTACTCTCTTACTACTATTTTTCCATTGTGGTATTGTGTTATTTATTTCAGTGATTGATTTAAATACAGTTTCTTTTTCTCAGTTGCCCATAAGCTTACCCTTACGGTAATGTGCTTTCCAATTACAATACAGTATTACAGTGCAATACTGTAAAGGTAAAATAACACAAACCTGTACGTTTATCATTTATATTAAACTTCAAACTTTTAATATATTAAACTACTAATACTGGTGTTCTCTGTTTCTGAGGATTGAAAGTTCCTGTGTATGTATGTGTTAACCTTTGATCCTATTGTGAAACGTGTTGTTACCTAGGTTTTAAAAAGGGCTATATAAATAATATTTTACTTACTGAGTGAGGCCCAATGCCTTCTCTATGTTGAGTAGAAACAGATATTTAAGGTTTGATAATGCCACCATGAGGGGTATTTTTGACCAAGCTGTCCATAGCACTGAAGCGAAGCGGAGGAGTCTTAGTTTAGTATCTTTACCTGTTTGCGTTTCATGGTTATAAACAGAACTTTTGACCCTAATTCAATCCCCCACCGTTGTAACAATCCACAGACAGAAGGGAAACAACAGGGAAGTGAAGGCACAGTGGACAATAGAAAGAAAGACAGAGAACGAGAGCTTCAAGCTGCGCTGCTTATTTTACCAGACCATTGTGTATTTAGTCTATTAGGTTATGTTATTATGTGAGTGCTGTGATTAGTAGCCTCATGTTGTTACTTAGCCTCTCTGAAACTATTAATTGCATGATTCAATTAAAACTTTTTTATATGAAAGAAAGAAAAATTACCCCCCTCGTGCTTTGTAACTGCCCCCTCAGTCACTACATCACAAGTCTGTAACGTGTGACCAGATGACCTACATGTGTGTTCAGAGCTACATAAGCATGTTGACGGAGCATGACATGACAGACACAGGAAACTGGTTTGTCCTAGAAACATGAAAGCTGCACATTTTCATTGTTGGGTTGAAACATTCTTTGTGATATGGTTTATGTGGGTTCCTGTTGTAATTACTGTACAGTTTATTTTACGTTAACTCTCCTGCGCTTTGTGCTTATTTCAATGTGTGTCGAGTGATTACAAGCAAAATCCACCACAACACAATCCCCAGTAAACTTTGTTTTAAAAGATGAAATCTAAATTAAATCCTTACAATAACACCAGGTTTATAATTGTTATTTTAAAACGTTAAGAGGGCGAAAAACGTAAACTTAACGGTGCGCCGTGGGCCAAAAGCAATCAGTTGTATTGTTAAGATTGTCAAAAAATATATTTTTAAAAGATATTCCCCGCTGTTGTTATAGTTTCCCACCTTCCGTTGTTCACCGATGTGGCTAAGAGACTGTATCTTGTCTATTAACAGTATGTCCAAGAACTGGCCCCTGAGAGCCAGAGGTCTTCAGGCATCACCAGAGAAACCACCCCAGTTCCCAGAATCCAGTGTGAATGAGAACAACATGAGGTTTCCTAAACGCTTGGTGGCAAACAGGTGATGTTCACATTAAACACAACACAAACTGTCCTGCTGTTCTTTTTGACACATGGGGATTAGATAGACCGCTGACTAGCCTCCAGCCTGTTTGTTCATGTCTACATTGTGCAGGTGGCATTTACCTTAGAGTCATGCTGCTGAATTATCTCAGTACGTGGAACCTGTTCGTCCTACCTGAAGAGTGAACATCAGATAACGGCTGATATTGAAAAGTGGCTTCGTCACGCTGTGCTGACTGTGTCCACACAACAAGAGGAAGAATGAGGACAGGCAACCAGTGAACCACTAGCACATACTAACAAACCATGATGTGATCTTTGTACCCATTGTTGAGGTCTGCGTTTCAGTACCCACACTGCCTTACTATTTTTGCTATATTTCCCAATACCTAGTATGTCATATGCAGTATGTAAAAAAAAAAACACGAAGACGTCCTAATCTGGTTGCATTTTGCTGTATGCAAGCCAGCGTGCTTTAATGGCTCTTCTATCACATCGACTGAGCTGCAGCGAAAGCACAGAGTATGTTATTTTGTGCTTTTTTTAAATCTTTCATTTCCTTAAACTTTATCATGCCTTCTTCTAAATTTAACCCGCACAGCGAAGTGACATAAAAACAAGATGTCTTGAAATAATCTGCTTTGTGTAATTTGCTTTTGGGACAGATAAGTCAGGAGTCAGGCCGCCGTTCTCTGGTTTTAAGAGAGTAAATGTGGTGAGAAAAAGACAAACCAGCACAGATCAATTAATAATGTTTACGATGTTATGTAGAGAATTGAATAATCGTCTGATCGCCAAGCTATCTCAAGATTAAGGTCTGTGTTTAATAACAACAAACGGCATTATTAATGAATTATAGTCTAGGTGCGGTCCAGACACAGGCTAGAAGTTTGTATGTTTTGTGTCTTTTCACATTGTATGCGAAGTTAGATCTGTCGTCTGTGGTTTCCTGGGTATGCAGCAGTGTTTCCTGTGGAGGTTTGCTCTGGGAAAAAAAATTGCTGAGGGGAATGCAGCATCACCTAAAACCAGATGTTATAAAAACCATAACCAAATTAATAAAAAAAAAAAGTTTTAAACTTAATGTACAAACTCTATATTTTTCTCCTATGTTACAGGGATAAAGGCTACATTGGTGGTGGGAAAGATGATTTGTCTTGCTTTATTATCTTTCTATTATCATATGTAGAAGTATATTATTAAAATCCTTGTGATGTGGACTGTATCATTGAGGTGTTAAGAGGAAATTTTCTCCCACCTAATCCAAGTAACAACAACATCAGGAGACCCCCCCCCCACGGAGAGAGTTCAATCCAGTCAGCTCTCATAGTTCAAGGGCTTACCGCTATTACTGCCAATGCACAGTGACACATTTGAACAATAGGGTGTATGTTTCATAAACTGTGATAACGTGGTTATGTGTCACATTTCGCTGTTGCAACACAAAGTGCATCTTTATTTGAGGAAGTAGATCAGATTTTTAAAATCGGAATGTTGTATTTATTTATTTATTTTTGAAGATTTTGCTGTAGCAGCCCGCCAATGTTAAACCTCTTAAAACCCACCCGGTCGCCCGCTTGAGTGAGTTTTAAGTTGTTTCAATCTCCTACACAAATGAAAATGTTTTTAAACTTATGTTTAACAATATGTACATGCTGCACATCATTAGATCAGTTATAGAGTCTCCACAATTCAATCGTTCACTAGATTTTACGAAAACGATCAACAACAAACAGTATAACGTTAATTCACTCTGGTAACATGTTCAACAAGAAAGAAGGAAAAAAACCTCTGAAGCGATCATAATCATCATGTTAGTTGTCAAATTTGCTGAACAAAATCTCAAGAGAAGCAGCAGTAAGAGTTTAGTTTAGTTTTGTGCTAAAGGAATTAAACGTCTGTCCCAAATAGACGCCTGTCCCAAATAAAGGCAGGGGGAGTTAAGGGATTTAAGCAAATAAACGCCCGGGCTATTATTAGAAGTTTTACGGTATAAAGCTTTACCTACTCATCCTGGCCTCTGTAGGTCTACAGTCAGGTCTACAGTCAGGTCTACAGGGGCACATAATGCAGAGACGCTCCTGTGTACACTGGGAATAGGAATCCAGAACTGGTTCCAGTTAAGAATTATTTTGTTTTTGTGACAGTCCTGTATTGCAAATGAATGCCTACTCCTCCCTCCATGTTGCTACTGGCAACAAGGAGTCATAGTAGAGAGGAAGATATGGGCCTAAACATGGCTTTATTTCATGCAACGTCTGTGAATTGATCATTTCAAGTAAGTGTAGGAACACATGTGTTGACACTGAAAACCTGTTTGTGCCTACTTTTTTTCCCACACAGAAAACTGATCAGGAGTCATTAAGAGAATAACACCAATAAGCAGAATCAATAATGGCATTGGGAAAATCAATTCCAATCCCTGGTGTCCACCTATGAAGACATTTGAATTGTGCCCCTGCTATACCTTCAGCATGCCTTGGAGTAGCTTAATAAAAAGATCCACACATTGTTGAATGTATCTGACTGAACAAAGCTCTCTTCATCTGATTTATCATTAGAGAACAAGGAACCTCAAACGTGTGGTGTGTCAAATGCAGTGCTCTGAGTATTAACTGTTGGATCTTAGAAAAGGAATTAAGTCCTCTTGCACTGATATCTGAATTATGATGCAGAAAGAGTCGAGCTATCTAACTGTGTCTCCTTAAAGTTATGTCCTGAAGATAAGATACACCCTTTATTTTACTTTTAGTTAAAACTAAAGTAAGAATAGGAGTAATAAATAGAGACTATACAAGAGCAGGAGACGATAGTTATAAGGTAATGACAGTAGTGTGGTTAATAGCAGCAGCGTCAGCAAGGCTATGTTAACGTTAAAGTACACCATTATGTGTATGATATGATTAAGTAATGGCTTTAAGTGCTTTGTAGACTGTCTGGTTTGAAACATAAAAATGATTACAACATCAGAATCAGAATCAGAAATACTTTAATAATCCCAGGGGGAAATTACTTAAATAACATAAAAGGTTAGCTAGAGGGAAATGTGGGGGCTTTGGAAGAGGCTTATTTCTTTTTCACTTATTTCATTTCCTTACCCTAATGTTACCAAATTTGGTCATGCAGAAAATATGCCACAATGTACTGACCCAAGAACCTCTTTCTTGTCAACAGTCAGCCTTTGTAGGTAAACAGGGTGGTTGTGTTTACCACACGAGATGAAATAAGACTCCACCCCCCCCCGTCTACACTCTCTGTACAATGGTAGACCTGCAGTGCCAGTGGGCATCTCTGAAACTACTGTGGTTTTTTTGTACCAGTGCAGAGTGTAGTGCTTGCAGGTTGCAATGCAGTGCCTTAAAACAAGTACGTTAAAAAATTACGCTCATACTCATTATTCATAGATCTGAAACTCTGATCGGTTTGACGGGTGCGTGGATGAGAGATTCTGTCCGTCTAACTGGTAACATTGAAAGAGACCGTGAAATACTTTACATACTGCTTTTCTGATCCTGCACAACATGCAAACTGTGACACAAATGTTTTTCTTTTTATGGCTGCTCTCACTCTCATAGTATTCTAAACCGAGGTGATGTTATCGTTTACTTCTGTTTATAAGTTTCCTCTTTTACTGTCGCCGGGTCAACTCTAATGCTGATGTAGTTTTTAAATGTAGTTTTCAAAAATTGTTTCATACTCTTAACATAAATCTTCCTTCCCCTTTCTCCATCTTCCTCTGTGTGTGTGTGTGTGTGTGTGTGTGTGTGTGTGTGTGTGTGCTCTAGGCGTGTGTTGGTGCTTTGTGTGATTTTAGGTTTGCTGGGTTTGGTGACTGTCTCTCTACCGCTAATTGAGAGAGAGACAAGAAAACCCGTTGACTGGCACGTCAGCCCCGCACATAAGAAGGTGAGAGTAGGGTGGAGCAGAGTGTTCGGGTTTCCACGTTCACTATAGACTGAAAAGTTACATATATAAAGTTGATAATAGATTATCAGAAAATCATTGTTTGACACAGATGCTTAAAAAACAATAGAAAATAAGAAACAGAATAAAATAGAGAATTCAGAATAGAGCTGGAGGAAACCAAATGGACTCCCAATCACAAAGACTGTATGAGCTCTATTTGCTGCTCAGTCTAACAGGCAGTGCAGCAGTGTACAGGATCATCAGATATAATGTAATTTTACACCAAACACACCAGATTCCTCTTAGATGAAGGACCTTTTTTAAAGTGTGTAAAAACAACAGGATGACAGTCATTACAATCAATCATTTTTACGATCCCAACCCACCTCCCCATCCCACCCTTCCTTGTGTAGTAGTACAAAGTGCTATATAGAACTTAAAATAATAATAACAATAATAAAGAAATACATTTACTGTACTAATAAGAGGAACAACAATATTAAAATAAACACACTGAGAATACAAGTAGCATCTAGTCCATTAGCAGTAATTGTGGGTGTAAGAATAATAACTGGAGTAGAATGTAAAAATAATGGTAACAGCTTGCTCAACAAAATTAATAATAACTGGACTGTGTTGGTGTCAGATGTTATATGAATATAGTAACATTTGTAATATTTTATTTTATTGTTTATTTGTATAGGGACAAGTATGAAGCATAAATAAATGGCACACACCACAACATCTACAGCCTAAGTTAATGTGCATTGCCTCTCCCTAAATGGGCCATTAAAAAAAATCCATAAAACTCAATAAATACACAAGAGACAGTATAAAACACACACTCCACCACCCGGACGCACCACATCATCCATGACTGATCCCTCCTCTGAAAAGTATTTACACATGAAATAAAATATATAAATACAAACATTTTTAATCCTTACCATATTTTCATTATGCGTGGCTGTCTCTTAAAGGAAGATGTAATGTTGAGAACAGTATAGGTTGACCTGGAGTTGGTAGACTTTGAGTATGGACCTGAGGGAATTCACAGAACAGAGAAATAAAAGAGAAAAGTGGAACAAAAGGAAGAAGGAAAGAGCAATATGTGCTACAGACACACACCCACCCCCACTAGCCACCTTCCAGCCCACCTAAGAGATCTCCCCTGTGAGATGCCTCACCTTCACATGAACCATTTGTCTATTAGTCCACCTATAACTTCACTCTTTTGCTCCTAATTATTTATTAAACATAGTTTTATGAGGAGGATCATGAAATGTGCGCCCTGCAAATAAAGAGAGGGAGTGCACTGTACACATTAGCTATTGAAGTCTGGGTGTGCTGGGTGGCTAATAGTCTCATTAGTCATTAGTAGGGATGCTCGATATTGGATATTGTCCAACTCTCAATTTCCGATACCGATATCACCCGATACCGATATATGCAGGCTTTTTACACCAAAACTGTTAGATAACAACATAACATATCTCCTATTGTGGAATTAACACATTATTTTATTATTTTTATTGTGATGCCCCACTGGTAGGATGGCCATTTCCTTCACATCAAAAAGGAGCACACTTTGCATACACAGGGACACACAAGCAGATATTGGTATGATCCGGTTTTAAATGTTAATGTTTTTCCACCAGATTACATAAAGGTGCATACACATACCACATAGCTAATAATAAATATACAAGATACAGCTCATGACAACGTGCCCTTCCAATTCAGATTACATAGGTCTAATAAACATCTTACAGAAACTGTTCTTAATGTTTTTATCTGGGGATAAAGGGCTTTGCCTATCTACATAAGAGTATGAGCATTTTCAGAATTTCAGTCCAACAACCGACGTTAGCTCACGTTACGTTCTCTGTCGCTGAGAGCTTGATTGACAGCCTGGTGGTAGCAACTGCGGTGATCAACACATGACTTGCTTTGAATATTAAAATTATCCATGTGTTGATAGGTCACAGAGGGCCAATATTATGGGACATCCCTAATTATTAGGTAATGATTGGCCTACTTATAATACCATTAACCAATCGGGTGGCTTCACACCCTCATTCTCCTGTAGGAAAGCGGCAGGCTCCTTGGGTGAGTCTGGGGAGAAATGGACGCTCACCTCTTTGTAGAATAGAAGTCCCTTCTCTCTTGACATGCTTGAAATACTGTGTGTTCCTTTGTCCTTTTAATGCCTTGGAGCTTACATAATGTTTTCATGATCTCTGTTTTACTTGCAGAAGGTGCAGGAGCATGTGCAAAGAGTTCTGAAGGCTCAGTGTCGTACCGGCAGCACCAGACAAGCCTTGTTAGATCAACTCCCTGTTTCCAGTCACATGACCCAGCCCTTCCTGTGGAAAGACGTGCCACTCCCTGATGAACTCTTCCTGTACCCACCGCCATTTGGGTTCAAGGGTCTTCAGGGCAAAGTGGAAAACCTGCTGAAGCAGGTGAATAATACAACTTCCCTCTCCCTCTCATTCTATTATTTCTATCGGATTTAGTCGGTACGCCACACATTACATGCATATATGGTACACTAATGTTTAATATAAAAAATACTTAAAAATATAGTTATATTTTTAAAATCTGTAAATGTAGTATGAAGAGTAACCATTACAGTGAGACCAATAAGAATGATGACTACTACTTAGGTGCAATTTACGTTGCCATTAATCTATAGACAGCCAGGGCTTTTATACATGGTTCACATTATTGCATGGCGTGAAATAAAAATCAATGTTATTGTTTGTATTAAACAGACACAGCAAGGCCTTGTGTTGTGTAACTGAATACTCTGTCCTGACAACTGGTAACATTGTTCAGTGAGCAGGATTTGTGCACCTGTAGGCAAAACACCTGTAGGCAAAACACCTGCTTCGACCTCACTGCCTGGCATCTGGCCAGAAGTGCAACCGGTAGAAACATTTCAACCATTTGTATGTTGGCATTAACATCCCTTCTAGGGTTGTTTTAATCTGTTGATAGAATGATAGGTGACTTTATCGAGACTGGAAATCATCCTAAATGAAGCTTAGCTTAAAGGAAAGGTGGCTTCATTAGGTAAAGATAAACCAACATGGGTTACTTAAAGCAGGAATTGAAATAAGAGTTTAAAGCCATTGATTATCTAAGACAACATTTAAGAATCCAATGATGTCTTCCAGAAAGATTATTTGGCTCGCTATACATAAGAAACAAAAATCTCAAATATTGCCTGTCTGTGTGTTCGAGTGTTTTTAAAAGTTTTGGTTCCAGCCGCACCAAAACTTGGTGGAGTATGCAGCTTATGCAGTGTGATGTAGAAACCTGAAGCCACCAGTGCACATGACATTTTCATAGATTCAGAATTTTAAATGAGGTGGACAGAGTAGATGTCTTTAAGGATTTGAATGTGGAACTTATACTGGTTTTCCAAGCAGACTATTTGTATTTCTATGTCTGGAGAGCATATTTTAAGCACCATGGGAAAGGGACCTGATAGTCACATATAATAACAAGGTTTTGATTAAACTGATTCTTGTCCCAAAATTCAAGTTTCCACCCAAATGTAGTGCCCATTTGAAATGAATTTTTAGAAAATATGCAAAAGAAACTGCAAATGAATGTGCATTTCAATAGAGAGAAGAGAGAGAGAGAGAGAGAGAGAGAGAGAGCATAAAAACATTTTTTCTCTTTTAATTTAAATGTAATTTATAATATTAACAACAATGAAATTCACACTGAATTTCTACATTGTGCAGCACAGTGAAACAAAGGTCATGAATCTACTTTCTTCCGGGGGAAAGAGAAAACGAAACAAAAGAGCATCTTCATGCTCCTGTAGGTTCAGTACTATTCAGAACAACCAGCTAATGATTCTATCTGTGAATTTTTTTTTAAAGCTGCCAGACTCTGACTCCGAACCCCAGCCACGAAACGCATCAGATAAATGTCAGCGATGTGTGGTCGTGGGAAATGGAGGCGTCCTCAGAGGCCTGGAGCTGGGCCCACTGATCGACCGCTTTGACACGGTTATCAGGTTGGAAATAAAGCCATGATATGACTGTATTAATCCACTTTACACATAGTGGTCTTAGAAGTGTTGCTTGTACAGTAGTAATGATACAGAATTGTAGATAATATGCTTGGTTAACTGAAACCTACTTAACTTAAATGTTCAATTCAATTTTATTTGTATAGCGCCAATTCATAAAAGAAGTTATCACAGGACACTTTTCAAATAGAGCAGGTCTAGACCGAACTCTTTATAACATTGTGTCAAATGTATGTTGGGTATCCTTACTTGAGTTTCAGTTCGACTGTAGTGCTGCATGTACTGGTAATAATTATCATCACACTTCCTGCTGTGTATAACCAACACTAGCATATGACTCAGTTGTTGACTTGAGAAATCAGTAAGTCACTGACTCTCTGTGACTCCCTCCTTCAGGTTAAACAGTGGTCCTCTGGGAGAGTTCAGTGTTGACGTTGGAAATCGAACCAGCATCCGGATGAGTTACCCAGAGGGCACACCGCTGCAGTGGATGGACACAGACCCACACACTATGTTTGTAGCTGTGGTGTATAAAAGTGGAGACATCAGCTGGACCTCTGCTATGGTCAACAAGCTCACTGTGGTGAGTCGTGTGTGTGTGTGTGTGTGTGTGTGTGTGTGTGTGTGTGTGTGTGTGTGTGTGTGTGTGTGTGTGTGTGTGTGTGTGTGTGTGTGTGTGTGTGTGTGTGTGTGTGTGTGTGTGTGTGTGTGTGTGTGTGTGTGTGTGTGTGTGTGCGCGCGCTTCATTTGCACTCACTCTTCTTTCATGCTGTTTGTTGAATGTAGTCTGTTTGTGACCAAGATTCAAAAGCTAATCTGTAGTCTTGAGAAATAATTATTTATATTAAACAGAAAGCTGGCACTGTTAAAGGTCAGAGTTAAGACGTGTGTGTGTTATGTGTTGCAGCCTCTGTGGGACTGGCTCTTCTTCTGGCAGAAGGTTCCAGATCAAATCCCTCTTGAGCCGCACAGGTTCAGACTTCTAAACCCGCTAGTCATCAGAGAGACTGCATTGGATCTTCTGAAATACCCTCCACCCAGAACACGCCTGTGGGGCCAGGACCAGGTAATGGACACTTCCCATACTAGAGATTAAGTCTCTGTCTGTCTGTCTGTCTGTCTGTCTGTCTGTCTGTCTGTCTGTCTTAACAGCCAAGGCAGACTGTTGAATTAAATTTTAAATTACAGTCTGGTCCTGGTAGTTTCCACTTACACATTATTAAATGTAAGACAATTATCTGGACACACATGTGGCAGGTTAATGTCCTTCATCACCACTGGTCCTCTTCTGTGTTTTATTGATAGATTGAACCTTACACTTTTTTTACATTTCATATTTATTTACCAACGTATTACTGTCAGTATGCACCTGTTTATAGTTGGATATATTCAAGAGTCATACATTTGTTTTTGGTTAAAGTAGTTTTTACATTTATTTTGAGTTGAAATGATCACAGAGACATCATGAACTCTGTGACTTTCGCTACTCTGTTTAAACATTTGAAGCGTTTCTAGCATCTTTCTATCAATACCACATTTTAGACAACATTTTACTTTCTCTACCTCCCAGTGTGAGTTTCCCATCACATGTAGCTGTGCTCAAAGTTTGTTGTGTAAGAGAGGCTCCCTCCTGTGTTTGGTTTTGGATATTGCAATACTGACAACCATTTGTTGCCCCCATAATAATTTTAAACTCATGTCGGTAATGGTCTCTTGCGCGCTTCAGAGTATCTCTGTAATCATATTGGATTTAAAGATTTAAAGGCAGAGCTAAGGGGTGTCTCTGATACAGACTTTTGTCTCTTGTTTAGTGGGAATGACTTCTCCTCTGTACATTGTTGTTGTATCACCTTTTTCTACATTTCACCATTTTTCCCTTAAAATCTAAACTGCCAAAAAATGTCCTTTTGAAATTACGATTATAAACGTTTCATATAGAGCTGAGTCAGTAACAACTGCTCATTATAGTGTATGCTCAATTATCAGAAAGGATTTGGACTTCTGATATGAATCAGAATTAGCCAAGTACGTGTACACATACAAAGAGTTTGACTTTGGAAGAAGAAATAAGCTAAACAAAAATTAAAAATATTAATTATACTATTATATACATATAATTAGGTGTATACATATAAAAACCAACAATGACAAACATACAATGCCTATATACAAGTGAAGTGTTTCTGTGTTCTATGATAAATGATCTGTTTAGGTATAGAAATATAAATTTGGAATTGTAAAATGTATCATTTAGGTAGTTTATAAATAGAAGTACAAAAGCTTTAGCTAAACTAACTTTAGTTAAATATATGAAAGTAATAAAACGTGACAAATAAAGATTCCAGAAAATAACACTGATGTTTTTTTTTTGGTTTAAACAGGAGCAATGACACAGATAGGAGTCAAGAATAGAAAGGATAACTAATAATAATTGGGTTTTGTGTCTGCAGAATGTGCCGACCATCGGAATCTCTGCACTGAATTTAGCCAGCCTGCTGTGTGACGAGGTCAGCCTGGCGGGCTTTGGCTACACTCTCTCCCAGCAGGGAGCGCCACTGCACTACTATGACCACCGGCTCATGGACAGCATGCTGCAGGAGACCTCGCACAACGTGAACAGAGAGACCAAACTCCTACAAAGCCTCGTCAAACAGGGAGCATTCACCGACCTGACGGGGGGGATCCAATGCTCCTTCTGCCCCAGCTGATCCTGAGTTGTTCCCCTTTTCTTTGTTGTGAAGTCCTTTTAAAAGAACAAATGAAACACTGTACAAAAAATTCAGAAAAGCAAACTTACTGACAAAGACTTACAAATATGTGAGAAGAAAGGAAGAAAAGAAAAACAGGTGAGAGGAAAACTGAGATGGGTCGAACTGCAGTCCTCCCTCCTGCGGGTAGTAGGGTCCCATTGTGTGAAGAAGGCTATGTAAACATTTTTTTCACCTTAGCAGTCCACCAAGATCTGTTCTCAACAAATGTTTAATGCGAGCAATAAGCTATCCGGTTGCTGAATCTTAACTCACATCGGCACAACTGCACTCCAGGTTGCCATGGATGCGGTTACCGGTGGTTATCAGCAGATGTTGAACTCTAGAATTAAACGTTCCAATAAATATTAATCTGCTCCTCCTTAAAGTCAGTTTTGATATTTGATATAATTATATTTTTTTAACTATATGACCTGGCAATTGACTTCTATTGATAATTCAGTAATTCCTCCAACCAACAGAGGGGGGCGATAGTACCTCAGGAGAGCGGTCTGAGGCTGCAGTTTGACCCTTTTGCATAAACTTGAGACAAAGTTTCTTCTTAAAGGACACAAAAACAGAAAGAAAGTAACATGGGTACCTACCTGCAACTCTATTATATAGTCTTTAGTCAATATTTATATATTTGAAAGTTATTCTGTTAGCAGCAATTTCATTCATCTTCCCCACATGGCTTTTAAACCAACCAACAAAATGTAATTTTCTTTGCTGACACACCAAACTAAAAGCTGTCATATGAAGATACTCAGTATATTACCGGTAACATCACCAATCATCCATGTGCTGATAGTATTAATACATAGATAGCTCAACATTTTGTCCGCTTTCAAATTGAACGAGTTAAATTGGTTCAGATGTATTTAGTTCATCGTGTTGTTTACGCTCACACTGCAACAAACATCTGTATCTTTAACATTTTTGGAGCAGGCTTCGAATAGTTGACGCATAACACAAACATATATTACTTAATAGTTTAACTGCTATGTTTTAAACGGTGCTAAAAATGTTTAGTACATTTGATCATTCCACTGGAGATTAGCAGTGTAACAGTTTTACAATTACTCGATTAGTTCTTTCTGTGGTTTCAGTGGGGCCAGTTTCCGTGCTTACGCCTGGATTTAGTTTAATATGCTTTCTTCCAAAATGGTCTGTAATAATATTTATAAGTTGTGTTTTGTTTTTTATTTATTCATGATTAATATAATTTGTTATGCAGTTACTAATGTTATACACTGTACAATGTGGTTACCTTCAAATTCACTTAAGCCTAATCTTTTGAGTTGCCACAACATGCTGTTCTTTTTCTTCAGCCGGCTGTTATTTCAGATTTCTTGTGTTTAGGTTAATCTAGGTTAATCTAAACACAGCTACTTGTTAAAAACATGAGTCAAATGTGAATTTAATACAGTTCTCCAAGGAATGTACTCTTTTACATGGACACTGCTCTTTTTGTGTGACAGATGGAAATGAAGGTACCTATTTGCTCACTACTGTACGTATTAGGACACAAAATAAAACCTCTGATAAAGACTGAATTTTTATCATGCAGCTTTCTTTTAAACAACGTTTTTTATTTTTATTGTGCTGTTTTTAAACTTGTTATTATTACATTTGACGGAGATGGATGCATTATTACACAGTGGCTAATTGAGAGGTTGTAAAGGAATAATTACTCATTATTTCAAAGTTATGTGTTTCATTCAACTGGAAACAGTTTAGATTGAAAGATTTCCATCTCCCATTTATGTGTTTTTAACAAGTTTAGAAAAGGAAAAGTATTCCTTCATATGTGCCACAAGCAATTCATGTACAGTATAAAGAGTGCACACAGCCCTGGACTCTCCTGGTTAGATATTTCTGCCACTCAGTAACTCAGAGACTGTCAGACAGTGTGCAGTCTCTGTGTCCTACCCACACTGTCTGGGCTGCTTTTATGGTTGAATAACCGAAGTTGCACATAAACAGATTCAGGAAGTTCATGTGTTGTTTCCAGATAGAGAAATAATTTAATTACGCCCATTATAAAGCTATGAATCTGTGATCAATGCCTTAAAGGTCTCGTACTATCGGTTCTTTCATACCCCACTCCACTAGCTGTATTGTCACCAGAAATCAGGCGTTTCCCCTTCAAAATAGAGTACAAAAAATATAATTAAATGGTAACAGGGTCAAAATACACCCTGGGAAGACTACACTTGCTTTTAAGTTTACTTAAAAACCTTCCCGATTTAACATTTTATGCACTTACTCTCTTTTACTGTTTAGCTCTAGCATCGTTAAGTTCTACAGAAAGTTATGTAAAGACAACGGATTTTATTTTGAAAACCCTGCCAGGAAGTTGAACTTTCTAACGCCACGCGTGGTCAGGAACAAGAAAGCCGGGGACATCTGCTGCTAACAGGTGGGGAGCCCTTCAAACAACTAACTTATTGTTGGTTTATTTATATTGGACTAAGTCATAATGTGTTTGCTCGTTGTTACACTACATGCTAAACAAAAAAAAAAAAGACAAATATAGCATGTTACATTGTTTAAGTTGTATGGAAATAAAAAGTCCCGCGGAACTCTATTCAAAGATTGACTGTTTTATGGTAACTTATCTTGTTAGTGCAATAAGAGGAATACTGGTGACTGGAAAAACCGCGAAATTTACCTCAATGTTTTTGTTCTAGGTACTTTTTGAATTCGGCGTTAACATGAATCATTATATTAACTGGGTTTATCTTAAATACTGGACACACTGCAGTCTTCATTCACTACACTACACTACACTACGGAGTCTGCAAGGTTAACCAGCTGCAGTTATCACCTAATGGTTGACTTTTATGTGATAAGGGTTAAAGTACTGGTTAAAAAAAAAAAAATGGCTTCAGTTAAATTTAAAGGATTCTATGCAAGTTGTCTTTTTTCAGAAAACTTGAACTTTATGAATGAAAATCATCATCATCATCATCATCTTCACGTTTTTTTATTTTTTTTTTTACCATGAATGGCCTTTAGCTGCAGCCAGTGCAGTCAGAAGGTTGAGCAGAAAGTTTAAAGTCTAACCATAGCGAGTTGTTGTAGATGAACTACCAGTTTTGCATGGACTTGTATATTCTGGTGGTTTGGTATATATGTGTGTGTTTGTGTTGGTGTATATTCAGGCAGTTGAACAGTGTTAATAGGCTGTAGGGTCAGTGTGCATGGCAAACATCAGGTAGGTGGACAGACTGGGTGAAAGGCGACTGAAGGGATATTTTGGCACAATGCAGGTTTTGAGGTGAAAGGTGACTTGTCTCTGATTGGCTCACATCCATGAACCCACCCTACTTTCATTGGTTCCTTGGTATGCAACCCCCCCTCCCTTCTGTGGTACAACTCTGCTCCCCCCACTTCCTCCTCTCTCTCTCTCTCTCTCTCTCTCTCTCTATCTCAATCCCTATCTGTGTTATCCATGCCAGGGCTCTCAGGCTTGACCGGTGTGGGTGGAGCAGCCTATAGTAAAGAGGATCACGTGCTTCACAACAACAACAACAGACATGCAGAAAACTGTGCATCTCCTAATAATAGCAAACCAACATGAATAATGCAGCAGCTGAAGAATATTTTACTTTTTTATTTATTTTTGTAAAAATCTTAAAGCTGCAGTTGGTAACTTTTATAAAAAAAAAAAAAAACGTTTTGTCATATTTGCTGAAACTTTCACTATATCTTGACCGTAGTACATGAGACGGATAATCTGTGTAAAAACCAGGTTCCTCTGGCTCGTTCCTAGTGCTCCTAATGGCGTTTGCAAGAATCCACTGGGCCCAAACGAAAACAACCAATCAGATATGAGAAAGATGGAAAGATGCTTTGGGTTCCCAGCATCAATATTTGACGGCCACGCTTGCAAATGTCATAAGGAGCGCTAGGACGAGCCAGAGGAACCTGAACCCTCGTGCACTGTTGGCAGGATATCGTGAAAGTTTCAGCAAATATAACAAAAACTTTTAATTACCTACTGCAGCTTTAATATTAGATCATTTACGGATTTGATTTTGGATAGTTTTAGGTCTTTGGGCCTTAAACAGTTATTCAACGAATCCATCTGAGGTTTTAGAGGAAAAGTCTCTCTGGTGAAACTACTAACACCTCATATCTAAAAGGTTGGTTACTACAGTTATTAAACAAATTACATGCAGTAGAGCAGTAAAAAAAAAGTAAAAAGTAACATAAAATGGCAATACTCACTGTAAAGTACAGATACCTCAGAATTACTTGAGTAAAAGTACTTTAGACAATTATGTAGTTGTCTCTTTTGTTGTTGGATTAATATATTATTAAAAGTTCAAAGTTCTTCGTTGGCATGACCATATTTATACACTAATGCCAAAGCACTGAATGAATATTGACATAATCTTAAAGTTTATTCAGAACCTTGTTCAAATGACTAGTACAAACATGTCAATAGTCGGTGATGAACATACAAAAGAAAAGAGTAAAGTGCTTCAACCAACCAGTATTCCTACACTGGAATGCAATTTAACCTCAGGTTAGCTGTATTTCAGTTAATTTATATCATAATAATGTCTAGCCTTATATAACTGACATGTTAAAGGTATTAAAACTACTATAAAGTACAGAAAATGTCATCTTTTTTTTGTTCCTTTTGTCACTCTCACTCACTCAGACTGATCAAGTTAAGATATATTATCACCGACTTTGAGTAGAGATGCGTGTGTGTGATACCGCATACCAAAGAAATGTACATTGATGTGATAGTGATGTATGAAAAAGAAACACATTAACGTCCGTTCCTGAGGAGATTTTTTCAGCATTTTATGGATCAAACCATTAATTTTTGTAAACACAGACCCAGTATGGAAGAAACAACTGAGTCAACAGGACAGTTTCCTCTCTTTTCTGCAGTTTTTCCTTTGATCAGACTTTATCTCTCTCTGTCTAATCATCTCAGCTGACCACACAGGGGTCATAGGTCACTGGGGGAAAGGTGAGGGGACTGAGCAACTGCTTGAACCTGGCCATTGCAAGCCACTCAGCTCGGGAAGTCAGATTTCTATTTGTGTCTAATAGAACGTAGAGTAAGACAGACGATCCATGTGTTGATGCACCATGCAGATGATTGGTATTTGATTGCATTTTGTAATAGTTAGAATAATCCCAGAGTCTCAATGATATGCTCCAACCTTGTCTCATTGATCTTGTCAAGGGAAAAGTTCATTGATTGTCTACATCAAGTCTTTGAGTCAATCAGACCGACCGTCTTGCTGCAGCCAGCCAATGGGAGCCCTCCCCGGAGCCAGCGCGACCTTTGATTGGTAGATTATCCCAGGGGTTACACATCACCTTGTAACAGAATCTGTGAGAGCGTTTGGCGCCGGTAGTATATGAGTCCAATCCCCCTGTGTTAAAGCAGAGTGTGGCGGTTGCTGTAGCAGCAGTAACAACAGCAGGTTTCGCTGCCATTGGATGTTCAGCTGAAAAAAGGAAAGCCACAGTCCCACCTGGCTGCTTTTCTCTGTGACAGGTGAGTGGGGAAGAAATTGGATAGGAATAGAAAAGAACACTGAGAAATAGCTTTGCATTGTGCTTATAGAAGGTGGAGGCACCTGTCTGTGTGCAGCTATTGAAACCTTTACAGTAGATGGCAGCCCTAGTGTTATACAGGCTTTCCAGCGTAGAAGGTTGTTTGTAGTAACTTTTGACTCGTATTTAGAGCAAACTTGCCATTAGACTTTGAGGCTATGGCAGAGATGATTTGTGGAAATTGCGTGCAGTCAAACAAATTCCCTTCTCACTGTGGTGATTCTTCTGAATTCCCCCAAATGGAAATGGCTTTAAAAAACATTAACCTTTGAATCGTAGTCTATATTGGCTCATTTGTGAAGGTCGTGTGTGATGTGTTTTATAAAAAGTATGTTGTTGTTTTTTACATGTAACCATTAAACACAGATTACAAACTAGAATGGAGTATTGTAAGGCGTAGTAGTAGTTTAATTTATAAGCTAAAAACCTTAAAAACACACCTCTGCCCAGTTCAGTGCACTCTGGGGTTTTGCTGCCTTACTTGGTCTGTATGAACAGTAGCTGATGTCGGGTAATGTAACAGTATGACTCTCTGCTTGTGCTAGTAATTTGGAAAATGTTATTCACTTACAGATGTTACATTGGGTGTAATCATTAGACCACTGGCTCTCAAACTATATGAATCTCAATTCTCTTCATTTCAAGACATACACTATCAAAATTTGAAATGAAAATAGCCTGTTTAAACTACGAAATTGATGACATTTTTAATTTAGTTTCAATATCAAAGCCACGTTCATGCATGTAAGCATGCATAGATTCATGATTACATACGAGCTAAAATCTGATGGCAAGATGGTAAGTGTAGGTAAAACAAATGGTTCAAAAACATTGCAATCGTGGCTCCAAAGTGTGGACCAGGATTTCCACCAAATTAGCTTTGATTCTTGAACCGGTTCTGTTCAGGATTCAACAACAGTCAACAATAAATATTCATCTTATTAAGAATAACTGTCCGTAGTCCTGTCTGTCATAGTGGTGGCACAAAGAAAGCCTAATATTTTCTGAGGCGGCATGCGGTGTAAAAGATATTGAGAAACACTGTATTAGACAAATAAAACTGAAGCACCCAAATCCTCTCTTTGTGAAACTATATCATTGCTAACAAGGGAAGATTCATTAGAAGTACTTTTTACCTCTAAACCCTCATCATCGTGAATATTCACTCCAGTGAAGTTAGGACTGATGCTAACAGATTAGTGTTCCCTTGTGACTGCCGTTTGCTTGCTATGGATTACTGACTTTTATCTTCTAAAAGTACAACTTGGTCTTGATATGATCAGTGTTGACCCTCAGTTTGTTGCGTTAACTTGGAATCTGGGCCTAAGGTTGTTGTTTTCATCCTTCACATCCCTGTGTTCTCACCTAAAGACCCCAGACTCTGTTTCTAATGTGTTTACTCTCAAACAGCTCTTCCAGTCAGTCAACTCATTTGTCTGCGTGTTTGTTACAACACTGAGAACCTCTCCCATTTATACTGAACCTGGCACACCTGCTAAACTCGCCCAGAAAGAATCTGTTAAATGACATATGATCAAATTACACTGCAATATGAACCACAGCTGAACAACACTGCTCCACAGTAGTAACAGCAGAGTGCCTGAGGTTTCTGTACATCCAGCCAAGTTTTGCTTTCGAGTTCAGTCGACTCAGATGGCCTGGACTCTCAACTCACTTACATCTTGGTGTCAGATGTTACACACTAACATAAAAGGGGCAGAATATTGCACTGTACGTGAACATTTTTGCAGAGACAGGTACAGTTACAACATTTCATGGTCTTGCTCTCCTCTAGGTCCCCTCCCGGCCTGCATCCCTAAACACACTCCTTCCTATAACACACACACACACACACTCTTAACCTCACTTCAGGGCCAGCAGAGAGTGCTCAGTATTATCAGACACACCCTGCAGCCACCATTCCAGCCTTACATTCATCTAACGCACACTCTCACACACATTTACCACTCCACCCACACACACACAAACAGGCATCACCATGATGAGCCAGGAGTTTTTTCAGAAGTTGGGGTTGCCAGATCTAGATGAAGTCAGCCAGTACATCAAGAGCATCTCCACTCCCATGTTAGTCAGCATGGGGGCAGTGGCTGCCGCGACAACCTACTACCTGGCAACACGACCCAAAGCCCTCCCACCAGTCTGTGACCTCCGCATGCAGTCAGTTGAGGTTCCGGTAAGTTTACATGCTTTTGTCTGTCTGTCAGAGTCAAGCATCCAAAGCATTGCTAATTAAAAAGTCCAAACTTAAACATAAAAGTCACACTCACTTATAAGGTTGAACTGTACAGATCTAGGCATGATTAGTTATACACAGCCGGGCTGTTGCTGACAATACGGCATGGAATGAAAGGCTTATAAATGATAAAACTATAACCAGAACTAAAGCCGGATAGTCCTGTTGCAGTGTCAAGGACAACTTTACAGCAACAACCCCAACTCTTGGTGTGCCTCCTGAAAAATGGGTGGGGTTTACAGTCCAAACAACTGCTCTAGTCAAAGAGGCAATCTTAGTACTCACTGAACAGACAAACTCCCCGAGTAAACTACTATAAACAAATTGGTACAGTAAGTCCAGTAGCAGGACGAGCCCCCATTTTGACACAGCGAACGCTCAGCTGGCTAGATAATGAGGCTGATGACACAGGATTTAAAGTATTATAACTTACTAATTAGGCAAAATTAACTTAAAGGTTCAATGTGTAACATTTGAGAGGATCTATTAGCAGAAATTGAATATAATGTTCATGTTGTTACCTTTAGAATGAGCTATTTATCTACAGAATCTGTTGAACCGCCATGTTTCCACAAAATCAGCCACACTGCAACTGTACGTGAATTAAATATTCAAGCAAGAGTCAAGAGACTGACACTGTTGTTAGAAAGACAGTAGGATGAGTTGTAGCTCTTATAACCCACGTGTGTTTCTTCATCAGGGCGGAGAGTTGGCACGCCGATCAGTTATGCTGAATGGAAACGGTCCCTTGACACATTTCTACGATGATGCCACAACAATGTATGAATTCTTCCTCAGAGGGGCCCGAGTCTCCAGTAAGTCACACATTTGTTAATGTTATATGATTTTGAATGTGTATATTTTTAGTTGTAGAGTTCCTCAAAATCCAGTCCTGTAAGCCTTACATGGGGTTTAAACTTAATGTGGCTGATACCCTGCCACTACAGGAAACTACACTAAGACATAAACGGCACCATTTACTTAAATTTCCACTTTTCTTTTTTCTTTTATTCTCTCTACCCTCTCTGTTGCTTTCCTTTCATCCTCAAGATAATGGTCCCTGTCTGGGCTCCAGGAAACCGAAGCAGCCCTATGAATGGATGTCCTACAGAGAGGTAAGAGTCTTATAAAACACATTGCCTCCAGCTTGACAGCAGTAGAGCTACAGGATGCAGGCAACACCAATATCTTATATTATATTATAATAGCTTATTTAAAGCCCCTACAAGGAACTTTCATTCAATAATCTGTCTCTTGTGAGTCATCCAACCCTGTGGAAGAGCAATAATGGATTTCCTAATTACCCCTTAAAGTGTGAAAGTCATTAATTAGAGCTATTCTGTTTCAACAGGACTGCGTGTAATATTTAACTCTATTATCAGTAACACATAGCCGTAATAACCAACTCCCCATTGTTTTGACTTAAAGAAGAATAATTGTTTAAACAAACAGAATAAAGAGGCTACTTAGTTATCTACCCATTCAGTTAGTGTGTTACAGTCAAGTGTGCTAAATGCTATTAATGTGCATTAAATCTGGTCCATTATGTTCTCTGAGTTTATCATTTTAAAGCCCTGTATTATATCCCTTTAATGTTTCTGTAGAGAGGTTTTAGTGACTTAACTATGACCATAACATATCTAAAACGTGTTTCTTATCACTGGCAGCACTATAATATTTTAACAGAAGAGATTTGTTGGCCAACTGTTTGTCACTGATAGTAAAAAGTTAATTCAGCTTGAACGCGATTGGTAAAATATTAATGAAGCATTCCAGCACCGCCTGAGTGAACACTGTTTGCTAAAGGCTGAATACACCAGTTAAAGGACCAGTGTGTGTAGGATTCAGTGGCATCCAGCGGTGTACCAACTGAATACCACTCGCCCTCCAAGCATGTAGGAGAAATTACAAAAAAAAGAGCCAGTCGATCGTCCTAAATGTTCACTGCCGTTAAAAACCAGTAACTAATGACATTTTGTGTGTGTGTGTGTGTGTGTGTGTGTGTGTGTGTGTGTGTGTGTGTGTGTGTGTGTGTGTGTGTGTGTGTGTGTGTGTGTGTGTGTGTGTGTGTTAGGTAATGGAGCGGACTGAGAATCTGGGTTCAGCATTTCTTCACAAAGGACACTCCAAAACCAGCGACTCTCACATTGGCATCTTCTCTCAGAACAGACCAGAGGTACAGACACGTTCCCTTTACTCATAGGGCACAATGGTATCATTATACTTCCTGTGTACATCTTTCAAAGCATTGTGGGAACAGTAGTTCCAGAACCTAGAGCCCAATTATCCTCCAAATTAAAGTAAGACAATGAATAGTCATATGCTATAGAGATTTGGTCAAAAATGATTTCAGTACTGACATTAATCTGGTAATAACTGCATCACGTCGACACAGGAACACATTACCTGTGATTATTAATGAGTAAATTGATTATCCTTTAATGCTTGTTTATGTGTGTGTGTGCGTGTGCGTGTGTGCGCAGTGGACCATCAGTGAGCTGGCTTGTTACACATATTCTCTGGTGTCAGTCCCTCTGTACGACACACTGGGAACAGAAGCCATTGACTACATTATAGACAAAGGTAAACCTGAATAACATTACCGCTTACACTTCAGTGCCGGTGGTGGTGGTGGTGTTGTTGTTGTTTTTGTTGTTGAACGTCCGTCAGCATGTGTTTGCTTGTTTTGTCGGCAGCTTCCATCTCGACGATAGTGTGCGACGTGGTGGATAAAGTCAACCTGGTACTGGACTGTGTTCAGGACAAGGAGCACTCTGTGAGAACCATCGTTCTAATGGAGGCCCCCAGTGCCGACCTGGTCAACAGGGGCCAACAGGCTGGAATCCACATCCTCAGCCTGCAGGAGATGGAGGTCAGCAGGCAGATTATGTTCACACCTCTGTCTTTCTCTTGTTCCTTAATCGGTTCTTTGCCTTTTTTGCACATTCAGCCTTTTTTTGTTTGCTTAATTCTTCAGTCTTTAGTTTGGAAATATTCTGTATCCACACTTTTTGCTGTCTTCCTCTGTCTTTGTTTTGCTCTAATCTTTCTCTCTCTCTCTCATTTTTTATACATAGCTCTCTTTTTTTGTTTTATCTTGATCCATGTTAATTAGAGTTTACCTCCTTTTGTTTTATTGCTTTGTTGTCATTTATTTTATTCCTATTGTCTTGCCTTTTTCTTGTTTTCTTTTTGTGTTGCCTTCAATCTAGATGTCTCTTTTTTTATTTATCTTTTCTTTAATGTTCTGTTTCTTTCTTATTGATGTGTGTTTCTTGTGGTGCAGGCTATCGGGAAGGCCCACCATCACCAACCAGTGGTGAGTAAACACTCGCCTGTTAGCAGTCAGTATTTAAAATGATGCCGTGTGTTATTTGGCACTGTTTGACTGTCCCCCCCCCTCCCTCCATCCCTCTCAGCCTCCGCGACCTGAGGACATGGCTGTCATCTGCTTCACCAGCGGAACGACAGGTGACACACACAGACACACACACACACACACACACACACACAGTGAACTGCACACACTGTAATTTGTATTTGAACTATTATACTACATATATACTTGAACTCTAATGTGTACTTTCAGGAAACCCAAAGGGAGCTATGTTGACACATGGGAATATTGTGTCCAACTGCTCAGCCTTCATCAAAATGACAGAGGTGAGGTGCTGATGTAATACTTGAGTTAGAGCAGCTCTCCTCCTCTACCTTTTATCTCCTTCTCGACGGTACCTCCTCTCCTTCTCCACTTCCTTTTTTCATTTTTTACACCTTCCTTTCCCTCTCTTTCTCACCATCTCCTTTTCTACCTCCTCCTTTCTCCTCCTCCCTCACATGCATAGTTAGATGAGGAGATGAAGGAGATTTCATTGATAAATGAAAGCTCAACCGCATTCTTTTGGAAATGTGTATAATTTTTGCACTTTTTGGATATTGCTCTGCTAAATCACATTTCAATACACAACCTTACATTTATATTAGATCAAATATTATACCTTTGCTATGATCGACCATACTGTTATTACTGCTGTTCTACAACACATAATATTCAACAGATTTCCTGAGGAATAAAGTGAAGGAGAAACCAGAAATTAAAATGTGAAATCAAAAAAAGGAGCTCCTATTGTCGAGGTTATGGTCAGTTTCTGCTGAATTAAGTTTAATGGAAGGATTGGAAGGACAGTGAGAAGAAGAGGAAGGGGTGTCCACTCTCGCTGATTCAGGGTCCAGAAGCATCGCCATATTTTTTATTTTCTTTGAAGAGTGTGGGATTTTGGTAAACTCATTCCTTATCTCTCCAGTCTTACGCTCAGACCACCCCAGCAGACATCATGCTGTCTTTCCTGCCTCTGGCCCACATGTTTGAGAGAGTGGTGGAGGTACAGATACTAAACTGACTGCTTTCCCTTCCTGTGTCTGTGTCTGTGTGTGTGTGTGTGTGTTTCCCTGTCTGTTGGTCTGGGTCATGTCCATCCGTGTGTGTTTGTATAACTGTGTGTCAATGTGTCCATGTCTGTGTGTTTGCACTCCTGTCTGTGTGCACACGTGTTTTAGGTTTGCTGTCCATTGTGTCCCAGCGATGTCCATATTTCCTTCCTGCCCTTGGCTCATATGTTTGAGAGAGTAGTACAGGTATCGTATGTTTCCTTAGCTCCCTTAGTCACCCTTTTGTTAAAGATAGTCCAGTATTCCTTCAAACCCCTGTGTGTGTCCCCTCAGTTTCATCCCATGGGTTTTCCTTAACTTGTCCCTTCTGCATTTTCTTGCTGCTCATGCTGACAGGGAGTGATGTTAGTGCACGGAGCCAAGATTGGCTATTTCCAGGGAGATATCCGTTGGCTGTCAGATGACCTGAACACACTGAAGCCGACTGTGTTCCCTGTGGTACCCCGACTCCTGAACAGGATGTATGATAAGGTAGGTGGGCGCGACGACTGGAGTGTAAGCTCAGAGTTAAAGGTAGAGTCAGCAATTCTGGAGAAAGACTGTTAATATTTGAACTCAACGGCACATGGAGTTACCATGTGACAGATTTACTGTTCCTCTCACTCCCACATCCCCCCTTTCATCCTCCCATCTCCCCTCTCCTTCCCCTTCCTCGTGTCCTGTAAATGAGCGTGAATTCCCCCCTGTTGCTGATTGGCTGGAATACCGTTGTGTTGCCCGGTCCGATCCGAGCCCATACAGAGCTTTCAATTTGCATGATTTCTAAAAAACGTTCAAAAAATCTGCAGTTAACTCAAAGGAAAGATAATGCTATGTATAACTTTGGTCATGCATGTGTGTTTAATAGCCTATTTCTTTCATTCATTTGCTTTGATGCTGATAAATAAGGTGTGCCTTTGTTTGTGTGTGTGTGTGTGTGTGTGTGTGTGTCTCTGTAGATCTTCGGGCAGGCCAACAGCTCTCTGAAGCGCTGGGTGCTGGGGTTTGCCTACAGGAGGAAGGAGGCAGAGATAATGAAAGGCATCGTGAGGAGAGACAGTATCTGGGATCGACTCATCTTCGGGAAGGTCCAGGTACACAGAGCCAGCACAGTTAAATCTCCTGTTATGTCACTGTACGCTCGAGTGCCACATGTCCAGGAATGTTTTTCACCAGGGCCGGTTGATATATCGAATTAATTCAGTTAAGTCGAATTTTAGTTTTTGCACGATGTGTAATATCTCCACATTGTGAAAGTTGAGTATAAAAAAGGCTATTTTTAGTCCTGACCCTGTGTTTCTTTAATATGCATATTCCTCTCAAATCAGATGGAATTCCTCTCATTTGTGTCTGTATTTTAGAGCCTTTGTTTTAATAAGCCGTGGGTTATTTGGGTCTTGAAAGTAATTTGCTACAGTTCACTCAGATAAATGGTTTAAATGGAGCCTGAAGGCACACGTAGAGTTTAAAACATTGCATGAAGTCATGTATGGTTTGCAGACACAGACTTAACTCGCATAGCTGTTACAGAAGGCATTGATTAATATCCTGAGAGCAACAGTGATATATATACAACAGCCTCTAGTAGGGATATTTATGTGGTTGACTTTTTGTACATAGTATGTTGGGGTATGCACCTGATAGAGCTGTCAAGTATTCATGTAGTGTGCTGCCCTCTACAGGCCAGCCTCGGCGGTCGCGTGCGTCTCATGATAACCGGAGCTGCTCCCATCTCCCCTACAGTCCTCAGCTTCCTCAGAGCTGCAATAGGCTGTCAGGTAACACAAACACACTCAAGTCGACCTTAGCCAATGTTTCACATGATATCCTGTCTCTTTTTTTTTCCAACTTTAACTGGAATTGTGCAGCATAATACAGCCTGTAATCATCCACCCTCCTTCCTCCGTTCCCAGCCGGTTTTATATTGCATAACCCTGTTTGCAGCCGTAATAATAATAATGATCGTGTTTCCTCTGTCTCAGTTCTATGAAGGCTATGGACAAACAGAGTGTACTGCTGGATGCACCTTGACCATGCCCGGGGACTGGAGTGCAGGTAATAAGTGACAAAGCTGCTTGTAGCCTTGTTAAAGCGATAAATTGACTGATTACTCAGGTTTACAAGAAGTTAACATGACCTCATGTCCACAGGTCACGTTGGAGCTCCTCTGCCCTGTAACTCAGTTAAACTGGTGGATGTGCCTGAGATGAACTACCTGGCTGTAAACGGGGAGGGAGAGGTGAAACACAAAGACAAACGCACACAATGTGTGTTTTTTATTTTATATTTTCTATATTGACAATGCATGTCATTTTTAACGGTATATGTGTTTGCGTTTTCCAGGTGTGCGTGAAGGGTCCCAACGTGTTCAAGGGCTATCTGAAGGACCCCGAGAAGACTATGGAGACTATTGATGAAGATGGATGGCTTCACACTGGTGACATTGGAAGATGGCTTCCGGTAGGTTGAGTCACTGGTTCCCAAATTGTGGGTCTTGACCCCCACTAAGGGTTGCCAAAGCTTCACAAAGGGTCGTGAGGCCTTTTGAGTTCAAGGGTTGTAAGACAACCTTAAAATATATATATATATATATAAGGAAGCTTATATCTCAGCATTTCACTCATTTTTGTGAAGACCATTAAATTAAACTGTTATTTTTGTATTTTTTTTCAAAGTTCAGATCATTTTTTTAAATATAAACTTAAAGAAAAAAGCTCAGGATAAGGATACACTAGATTCATAAAATTCAGCATCTCTGCCACCCTGTAGACGTTTCATAAACGTGTGGATGAACATTTGTGTTCCCAGAATGGCACGCTGAAGATCGTGGACAGGAAGAAGCACATCTTTAAGCTGGCACAGGGGGAGTACATTGCTCCTGAAAAGATAGAGAACATCTACACGAGGAGTGATGCAGTGGCACAGGTCTATGTGCATGGAGACAGTCTGCAGGTAGGTGGAGGAAGTCTCTGTGTGTGTGTAATTGTTCCCTGTTTGACTGCCATTAAGCTCAATATCAGACACGACAGTCCATCTGACCTCTGTTTCCTGTATTGTGTTCATCTGCAGGCATGTCTGGTAGCAGTGGTGGTTCCTGACCCTGACTTCCTACCTGGTTGGACCAAGCGGACTCTGAGACTGGAGGGCAGCTACAAGGAACTATGTGGCAGAGCGGTAATACATTTCAGAGTTTAATGACAGTACACGATGTATTCAGACACATGCTGTTTGACTGAACCTACTTTAAAATAAAATAAAATAAAAGACGATAAAGAATTGAGGGAAATTGTTGGAAAAACTTCCACTTTTGTATAATTAAATAACGTCAATTTTAAAGATCCAGTGTGTAACATTTAGGAGCCGTTTTTATCTACAGAGGGAGCGTGTCCCTTACTGGCAGAGTCCGCCATTTCTACAGAAAAAACAATAACCCATGTGCTGTGTGTGAAATTATTCTGACTTACGTCCCTTTCCTTCCTTACATACAGGAAGTCAAGGCAGCCATCTTGGAAGACATGGCACGACTGGGCAAGGAAGGAGGCCTCAAGTCCTTTGAGCAGGTTTGAAAATACCTTTTCCTGTGTACAACTCTGTAGCTCTGTAGACTTTGTACTGCTGTTTTCCTGGAAGCGAAACATTATCATCCTCTCTAACGCAACCTGCCAACACTTGTGCGTCCTTTAGGTGAAGGCCATCTCCATCCACACCGAGCTGTTCTCAATCGAGAACGGCCTGCTCACTCCAACGCTGAAGGCCAAGAGGAACGAACTGCGGCAACACTTCAGATCGCAGATAGACGAGCTGTACGCTGGGATCAACATGTAGAACGAGAGGAGTAGAGCAAAACGGAAGGACAGACGCTAGAGCTCTACCAAAGGTGGTTTTTGTTTTTTTTTAGATGAAGAGAAAAGGAAGAGGCAGAGAGAGGATGAAGAGGCCCTCTCAGACTAAAAGCATCATCGACCTGTCTAGTCCTCATTAACAGTAACACTAGAAACAACAGGAACAGGAGGTGATACAGCTTTTAATGGAGCTTGATTCAGAGCATTTTGAAGAAAATCAATGGCCTTTAGGATCTGTGGCACAGAATACAAAACCTCCGAGGGTCCACAGAAGATTTTATGCTTATAATAAATGTGTCTATTGATGAAGTAGTTTTGCCTAAGCTATGTACAGTACAAATTCTGTGATTGTGTGTTGATTTCTAATCAGCTATTTTGTAATGTTAGCTTCATAAAGGGCACATAAGCACACACCTTTTAACTCTAAGGGAAAACTCAGACCACTGAAACAAGTTGACTGACAGTTAAATTTGGATCAGGATTTTTTTTTGTCAGTTGTCATGATTTTATTTTACTATGTTTCTTGGGTTTGTTAAGTAGAAAGTTGCAGTCTAAAATAGATAACAGGATTGTTTCTGCTGGGTCCTCGAATATTGAATAAGCTGTTAGGATCCTGGGAACCAGCAGAATGAGCCATATTAAAGACAGTCTAAACAAAGCTAGCTGTACACAAGGAAATTCAGGTACTAAAGAACAATCCGGACCGGAAACTGTGTTAATGTTTTAATTTATTTATGACGCTTACACGAAGGGATGAGATTTGTTGAAGAAATCAGTTTTCTTAAATTATTATAATATAGTAGTGTAAAGCAATGCAAACTGAATAAAATCATGTTCAATATTTGTGGTTTTAAGTTTGTGGAAGTACATTTGACATATGGTCTTGCTGTAATTGTTTTTACTATTATCTCAGATTTGTAAAAATGTTGATTAAAAATCATCAAAAGAGCCACGTGATCTGTCTGTCTGTCTGTCTGTCTGTCTGTCTGTTCGGTAGGGCTGTGTGTATGGGAAAACCATTTAGATATGTACTTCAGTCTTAGTGAGTCCAGTTATCTTGACTGCGGTGGATTTGTGTGTTTGGCATTCATGAGGCCATTTTTTTCCCCTCCTAATATTAATTTATTTAGCATGTATTTGATTGTTTATATGCACTGGAATAAGATAAATAAAATAAAACTCCCTTTTCTCTTGCTAAGTTGCTGAAATTATTTTGAACTTTTTAGTTGTTCTTTATAATAGTAAGCATCTAAAATACCTTTTTACTTTGTTTTCAAACTGGGGGTCTAGGGACCAACCAGGGTCATAATATATACCCTAATTTAAATATATAAAACTAATCAATAATAAAAATAATACATTATCAGGAGATTCCTTAGAATAAAAAAACTTCCAAATTGGGTGCATCTATTGTTTGGGGGGGGTCAGAACGGATACAGAAACGTTTCGCCTTCCGTAGGACCTTCCATTTAAGCGAAACCACTTAGGGTAGATACTTTTCACCATTTTGCAGTGCAAATGTTTATTTTAAGTCAACAGTATCCACACTTCATCGCCGTGAAATCCTCTGTAAAATACTATAAACTGTATCCAAATAAACTGTAACTTTGAGCGGTAACCGTTTGGTTGTAAAGAACCGTACCGCCCCCCCCCCGCGTATCTGACATGGTACAGTCCCAGAACTTGAAGCGTTTTGCGGGAAGCCGTTTGAGCTCGAGCTCCAAACATTAACGTTACAAGCGGCAGTTTTTCCCCCAAATGAGGTAAAGAAATGATCAATAATCGATTATTACAAATCAGTTAACTCTTGTGCTGCCAGTGTCGGTGCGTACGCTAGCTAAAGTCACATCATTTTGAATTGATTGGTGCTGCTCGCAACCGCCATTTAACGTTAGTCGCTAACGTTACCGTCATTTGGTAGAGAAATAAATAATATTAATAAAATCTCTGACTGTGAATATAAAGTCAAAGAAGCTGAAAACATAAAGGTTTTTTGGTTTTAAATGTTTGGTGGTGATATAAAAAAAAAGTACTTTTAAGTATTTTAGGTCAGCATCAACACTAGCCTGGTGCTGAGGGGGACTCAGTGTGGGAGGCTGGTCCAGGAACCAGAGCCCTTTGGTTGGACCTGTCACCTGATGATGGTACCTGTATTGATACTGATGATGATGATGATGATGATGAAGAAGCTCTTCTGTCTTCTCTGTTTCCACAGTACCAAAAAGGGCAGAGGAGCCAAAGTGCCCCGAGTGCCACAAGATGAGAATAAAGTGAGTCGATCTATGGTCACTGTAGTATTCGCACTATGATTTGATGAGAATTGGTACTAATAATGTATTTTAAAAAGGAAGAACATCGGAATTTCCATGCAACATTTAAATTATTAACATATACTAGTAGATCTAAAGCTGGCATGGCGTTTTACTTGTTGTCTGTTGTGTTCAGATCCAGAAAGGTTCATCTGTAGATGATGGGGAATCTCCCAACCTGTCTGTAATAGAGAGAGCAAGCTTCCTGGAGGGACTGCAGCTAAACTATGGTGAGTGTTTACACTGTACTGCTCTATCTTTACCTATATCACTGTCACAAACAGTCTGAAAAATACACACACACAGCCCAATGTGGTTGCCGAACTATATGTTGTAAATAGAGGGTAGAGCTGTGGGTGTATTACTCATAAGTACCATGATACTGTTACAACTGTATAGTTTTTCTTCTGCTCTTAATCTTGTGGCAAAGTAAGTTCAATCTGCATTATTTTTTGCGTGCAGAACATTTGTCTTCATGTTTGCCTTTCTACATTTATCCCCCATTTAATTTGTTGTGTGTTGAGCTCATCTTGTTTTCCAGAGCGTTGCATAACGTCAAAGAACCAATCCTGTGCTGACGAGAGAAATCTTGTGTTGCCTAGGTAACCCCCTGCACAGTACCGCCATGGAGGAAGATTTAAGCGTCTTAGAGGAGGAACGGGCGAACAAGGGAAAAGCTGGGAGAAAGGACATTCCTCAGACGTTGAAGACTGCTGTCAAACAGCGTGGAGGTGCCAAGAAGAGGAAGGAGACAGAGAGGGATGATGAGAATGAAGAAGAGGAGGAGGAGGAGGAGAAGAAGAAGAAGAGTAGAACTACTGGAGGGAAGGTCGAAGCAAGGTCAGACCCAACAAGCAACCAGCCTATCCCAACAGCCAACGGGCTCAAAAAATTGGTTGGGAAGAAACCCGCCAAGAGGAGGAGTGCTGGACAGACGTCTGCAGCGAGGTGAGGTCACATAGGGAGGGTACTTACAGGTGACTCGAAGGTCATACACCATTCATGGAGAACTCATTTGAAATATGTGTACTCGTGGGTAGAGAATATGTGAGTATATACACACAGCAGCATGTCAACAAATGTACAGGTATCCATATATACGCCAGATCTGTGTGTGTGTGTACATTTATACATTTACACCATTAGACATAACACTGCATCTACGTCTGTCCTCTGTGTCTTTGGACTTGCTTGTCTGTCTCGTGTATTGATCTGTCGGTCTTCCCGTTTGTCAACAAAGGCCAGTGAAGAATCGGCAAACAAAGAAAGGCAAGAAGAAAGAGAGTGAATCAGGAAGTGGAAAGTCTAGTGACCCTCAGTCACAGGTACGAAGTGATTGATAATGTCGGGTAATGAGCTCATTGTGAATGCTCTGAAAGACTTCTTTTTCTTTTTACCCCCCCAAGGAGGAATCTGACATTAGCACCACCCAGCAGAGACGTAAGAAAGTCCTGTCGTCTGATGAGGAGGAGACGGACGAGGACACGAGTTTGGTATGGACTAACTTCAGCACACCGTCGTAGCCAGGAGCATCCACAAGAATGTAGCCTACATTGTGATGCATTCACCTTTTTTTTTTTTTTTTTCACGCCATCTATTCAGAACCCGAGTCCAAAGAAGGCCAAGGTGTATAGTTTGAGCAGAACCAGAAAGTCTTCGTCCGATGGGTCTAAATCCAGAAAGTCTTCATCGGGTAAGGTGTTAGTGCAGCTGAATAGCTTAAGTATAAACTGAGCTTTGGAAATCTTGTTAGGTATTAACGGACGTTTTCATTTTACTGCTCTTCATTAAACCTAATTCTTCCTCCTGAAGGCAGTGCATCGGCAGGAGCAAACAAGGCCGACACCAACAGACAGAGGAAGAAGAGACGTCCTCAGGGAGGGACAGAGTTAGAGGTGGTGCTGGAGGCCTTCCTTGACTTCTGTGAACAGTACAGGTAAACTACGACATTCAAACAACCAAACTGTTCTCAAATACCTCTAGCGGATGTCTGTAGCCTCTGTAGATCTAACTCTTTTTATATCGCCACACAGTAACTTATTACATTCAAAGTTTGAATCATTTGTATTGCATATATTGCAGTTAAGAGATGTTACAGTGTATTTGTATGTCTGTTTATTTCTTTTAAGGGAGTCTGTGGAGTCTAAAGCAGTCAAACAGTCCATTGATTGTTTCTCCTCCAATGTAAAAGAGCAACTCCTGGAAAAGGTCAGACTTTTTCAATTCTGCCTCATTCGTGTTACCGAGGAGTTGTAGCGAAGGAGCAATCAGAATCAGAAATACTTTAATAATCCCAGGGGGAAATTACTTTCATTACAACTCCAAATATACATACAACATATTTACATACAACATATATATATATAATATCTAGAGAGGTTGTGAGACATTGTCCATGATAGACTGAAGCCTTGACAGCATCCTCCTCTCTGCCACGGTCGTCAGGGTGTCCAGCTCCTCCCCCACGACATCACCGGCCCTCCTGATCAGTTTGTTTAGTCTGTTGTTGTCTGCGACCCTCAGCCCACTGCCCCAGCATGTGACAGCGAAGAAGATCACACTGGCCACAACAGACTCATAGAACATCCTCAGCATCGTCCGGCAGATGTTAAAGGACCTCAGTCGGCTTTGGCCCTTCTTGTAGACCGCCTCAGTGTTTCTGGTCCAGTCCAACTTATTATTAAAGTACACCCCCAGGTACTTATACTCCTCCACGGTGTCCACAGAGACCCCCTGGATGGAAACAGGGGTCAACTGGACTCTGTGAAGTTTTCAATTTGTTTTCGGTTGACATTTAAATGTTTCGACTCTGTTGCGAACCCCTGATACAGATACAGCTTCTGATAAGAGAATCTAGTACATAATTACGACCGCATTTCTAAACTGTTTATGCATTTTGTTCACATAACAGCATGTGTGTCACAGGACCGTTTTTGAGTCATCTCCGTGGTTACGTTGAGGCTAACGTGCATATATGCCAGCAAGGTGTTGTTGATTCAATGTGCCAATTAGGATTTGATCTTACTGGAGTTTTAAACTGCAGATTTACAACAAACTGATCAAAAATGATGAATTATAGCTGTGAAGTGTTCAAGTCACCAATAAATGTGATCACACATATTAGAACACATCCATCAAAACAGAGGTGAATGATACTGATTAATATCAGACTTTTAATGTATATTCTCTCATGTTTTTTTTTTTTCCTCTTTCAGATCACTTCTTACAAGGAGCTCAAGGTGCTAAAGAGAGACAACGCTAAGGTAACTATGGCAGTGTTGGTTGCTCGGCCTACCGCTTTGGTCCAGACTGCAGTATCTCTACAACTAAAGATGCCATCATTAGGTCAAAATTCTTCATACTGATATTATTCCCATCAGACTATAAAATGTTTTTAGCACTAATAAGCAAACGTTAGCATGCTAATATGCTAAACTGCAGTGAACATGGTAAACATAATACAGTAGCTGTGAATCAGCCTCGCAGAGCAGCTAGACTCTTGTTACAGACTGTTACTTGATGGCAGTGTGTATTCACTGCGCCCTCTGTCCTGTTGGTGTGTGTGTGTGTGTGTGTGTCAGGTGGGCTCGTTGATTCGTGGAAAGACACAGAGACTGTTGGACGCCAAACAAGAGCTGATGAGGTGAGAGGCAGCGTGTTGACGTGCTGAACCATGAGTACTCAGTAGTTATTCCAACATTTTTACACTCCCATCTTCCAACTCTGACTTCCTTTTGATCTCACTTGTACACCAAGTTTCATCGTGACTGCACGTTGCACAGTTGTGACGGTATTGCGTCGACAAAATCTCCAAATTACTCCAGACATGTAGACACCTGCCAAAGTACCGCCTACGTGGTAGTTCCTTTTTGCCATGATGACACACACACACACACACACACACACACACACACACACACACACACACACACACACACACGTCACAAGCTGAAAACAATACCAGTCAATGATACCACAGCTGGTCATAACTTATAACTTCCTGTAAAAGTTGTTTACCTCCAAGTACAATGACCTGTTGTCTGTCTGTCTGTCTGTCTGTCTGTCTGTCTGTCTGTCTGTCTGTCTGTCTGGTCAGGGCAGAGAGACAGGTGTGGTTGCTGCAAAAGGAGAAAGCTGAACTTGAACTCAGATTAGGGGATCTGAGACGAGGCCAAGCGTTCCTGCATGACATCAAAGAGCTCAACAAACAATACCTGGGCTTCCGACACAAACATCCCAGAGAGAAAGAAACGGTACACACACACACACACACACACACACACACACACACACACACACACTGATGATGTGAATGCTGACTTTAAAAATAATGGGAATACTGACCTGAGTGTCTTGGTCATAGGTACAGCTTTAGCAATACAAACTATATTTATCTATATTTATTTATTTAATGCACAGCTGATGCATTTCATGAGTTCCAATAAAGCCCTAATGGTGACCTTTCCTCTCCTCCTCCCATCCAGTATGGAGCATCCAGCTTGCCAGCTCTGCTACTGGAGGCCAAGCACATTCAGGCAGCAGAGCATCAGCTGAGAGGAATCAATAACCGGCTGGAGAGAAGACTGGGACTCGGAAACAACGTGCTATGCCATACACACACGCAAACGCACACTGATTAAGAACTGTCGATGTCTATGTATTGTAACACCAGTGATTGTATGCTGAGGATTTCATTGTGTATGCCCAGGTTGGATCATTGTTAGATAAGCTGTAAGTATATTAAATGCAAAAAAAATAACAGCACGTTTTCTTTTTGTGTGTTTTTTGAGACAAAAATAGATAGATAGATAGATAGAAATATTTATTTATCCCCGAAGGGAAATTATAATGTTATAGCAGGATTAAGAATCAATTATTATTATTAGTCTTATTGCAGTGGGGAAGAATGATTTTCTATATCGTTCCTTAGAGCAGCGGGGATGAATAAGTCTGTTGCTGAAGCTGCTCTTTAGCTTGTCCAGTGTTGTGTGGAGGGGGTGGGAGGGATTGTCCATGATTGCCAGCAGTTTTGCCAGCATCCTCTCCTCCACCACCTCCTCCAGGGTGACAAGCTTAGAGCCAACCACAGACAAGTTTGTTCAGTCTGTTGGCGTCCTTTGCCTTGTTGAAGACACCGCAGCAAAGAAGATGGTGCTCACCACAACAACATCGAAGGTCCTGAGCCTCCTCAGGCCCTTCTTGTTGATGGCCTCTGTATTTGTGGACCAGTCCAGTTTGTTGTCCACTGTGACACCCAAGTATTTATACGCCGACACCATATCCACCATCTGTCCCACCGATGCTGACAGGAGAGGGCAGGGGCTTGTTCCTCCTAAAATCCACCACCATCTCCTTCGTCTTTGCCACGTTCAGCTGCAGGTGGTTCTCCCCACACCACTTCACAAAGCGGTCTACCAGGTCCCTGTACTCAGCCTCCCTGCCACCCTCAACACACCCCACGATAGCCTTGTCATCAGAGAATTTCTGCAGATGACACGACTCAGTGCAGTACTTAAAGTCTGCGGAGGCCCCCGATGTTACTAATCAGACCATCAGACACACAGTTCTTTAATCTCACAAACTGCGGTCTGCAGTTTGTGAGATTATGTCAGATAGTCATCGACCCATGTGATGAGGGGAGCATCCACCTGCGTGTTCTCCAGTTTGGCCTTCAGCAGTCTGGGCTGGATGGTGTTGAAGGCGCTGGAGAAATCAAAGAACATGACGCGGACTGAGGTGTTGGGTCTGTCCAGGGAGGAATAGGCCTTCTGCAACAGGTAGATGATTGCATCATCAACCCCCACGTGGGGCTGATATGTGAACTGCAGGGGGTCTTGCGGTGGGCACACTAGTGGTCTGAGGTGTGCCAGGGCCAGTCTCTCCATGACTTTCATGATGTGAGAGGTCAGAGCTACCGGCCTGTAGTCCTCCAGTGTCACAGGACGTCCTTTTTTGGGCACTGGGACCAGGCAGGATGTTTTCCAGAGCACTGGCACTCTCTGAAGGTGCAGACTCAGGTTGAAGAGGTGCTGGAAAACTCCACAGAGCTGGCCGGAACATCCCTTCAGTACTCGAGGGCTGATGCGGTCCAGTCCAGCAGCTTCCCTCAGCCTCTCCAGCTCTCTCCTCACCTGGCTGACTGTGATACGAAGTCCAGTCTGGTTGATACAGAGAGGTGTCTGCTGCAGGAGGTGGTAGGCTGTGAGGGCTGTGAGGGCTGTGGGAGTGTCCTGGGGTTGTTGCAGTAGAGGTGGGGGAGCTGAAGTTAAACCTGTTGAAGATCTGGTTCAACTTGTTGGCTCGTTGTTGATTCCCCTCAGCTGCACCCCCACCTCTTCCCTGAAAGATGGTGATCTCTCTCATCCCACTCCATACGTCTCTGGTGTTGTTGTCCTCCAGTTTGTCCTCCAGTTCTCTCCTGTATGCGTCCTTACTCCCCCTGATGCTGTGTTTGAGCTCTCTTTGTACACACTTGAGTTCTGCTCGGTCCCCTGATCTTAAGACCCTCTTCTTCTCATTGAGAAGGGCCTTCAGGTTGCTGGTTACCCACAGTTTGTTGTTTGGGTAGCATCGGACCTCCTTGTGTGCAATTCTACTTTGAGGTGATGTCTGCAGTCCAAATGGTTCCCCAAGTATGAGTTCTGTTAAGCAATTTTCACTGACAGGTAAATGCTGCAGTAAATGCTGTATTTTCAGTTTCTACATTAGTTTAACATCTAAGCCAATCAGCTGCACTGTTTGTGGTAAGTCCCGCCCACAGAGGCAGCTGATTGGCTGAGAGTTACAGTTCTGTACTTTGAACGAAAGTGACATTTCCTTATAGTGATAGTAAGGAGCACCTCTTAACGCTTTACTCCTGTCACCGTCTCATCTCAAAGGTACGTCTATTTAAAAAGAGTTTAAGTTTTAAAAAATACTTAATTTAAACGTATTAGTTCGACGAATCAGGACTGTAGTGTGAGTTAGTTGGTTAACACAGGTAACAGGTAACTTAGCGTTAGCCTGAAGTTGGAGGCAGTCTTGTATTCTTTAGGTTGCTGAAATACCTTAACTAGTGTGTTCTTGTTGTGTGTATGTTGTCAACTCGTACTGTGTGTTTGCTGTAGCCAGGGAATTGCATGTTTAAGTAAGTGAAGCTTGTAACGTGTTCCTGTTGTGATGAGACTTCCTGAGTTTACATGACACAGCTTTTTTTTTTTTTAAATGTTTACTTTACAAACATGTTTTAAAAAAACTGTCCTATAATCTTTCACTAAAAAACAGGTTGTTACACTACCTGTGGTTACACCATGATACATATATATAGTAATCATTACGTAGACATGAACAGTGGCTCAGGCAGGAATCATTTTCACTTTTTTTTTTAACCTTTGCTGATAATAAAAGCTGTAAATCATTGAGTGGTTTTATCAGTGGAGTTTCACTATGAGCCACATCCTAACACCTTTATGTGTTATTAGATTTATAGTGATAGGTTAAATATATTTAGTATCATATATAGTGTAATTTAATATATGATCAGTGTTGGGCAGTAACTCATTACTAGTTATAATATTTCCCCCAATCACTATTAGTGTAACTAATTACTTACAGTATTACTTTTGTTGGCACACCCTACTAATTTAAAATCCAATAATCCAATCACATCCTTGGATAAATTTTTTTTAATTTGAGAGGAAACTAGTCTTGAAGATGGAAACACTTACATTCAGCTACTGGAAATATACCCATTACTTTGATTTTTACCAATTTTGTGGGGAGTAGCAGAGAAGTAATATTACTTTTGAGAAGAGTAATGAGTAATAAATGTCTGATTAACTAGCCCACCCCTGTATATTATGCAGTGTATACCAGCTGGCTTAATCCAACCCTGATGTTAACCATACCCAGATGCCCGGTCACAATGTGAACAGGTTTCCTGGAAGGATCTGGTTTTTGTGGTCAGTTTGAAACCGTTGTGGTTCGCTGGTTTCGATTCAAAATAATTGTGTAATTGATAAAACCTGTGTCGGAATAACCGAAACCAATATGATGATATCCTTAATGACACACAGGAATTACAGTCAATGGACTGAATAATCTTTGGATGCAAACCAAGTACATTTAAAGGGTTTGTTCACCCAAATTATATATATATAGATATTTTTAAATCTCTCCAGATAGCCTAAAATTCCTGCTTCCACCCTCAATGGGAGTGGATTCATTTTTATTTCAGCTGCTCGGAACCCTAAAAAGAAACAGTGTCCTGTTACTCTGGAAATATCACCTCACTGTCGTCTTTCTTCCAAAGAAATACTGCTGAAGTGTGTACGATGAAATCTGTTGAGATCTGTGCCAAAATACTACAAACAGTTCCTTGACAACACAGTGTGATATATAGCACAGTACATGTTGTACATAGAATGTGGATAGTTGTTTAGAAACAACATATACTGCGTGTGTGCATATATATGTATGTATATAGGTATGTAAATGTTTTTCTATGTGTATATATATATATAAATATATGTGGAGGTAAAGTTTATCATTTAATTAATAAGAAGCAGAGAAGAGGTGTTTACTTCCTCTTCCTCACTTTAGCTGGTGATGATGAGAAAAGGTTTGTTTTAAACTGAACTGATACAGAGGACACAATACACAGGAAATTAAGGAGAAAGAGTCTCGAAGGAAGTTGGTGCTTGTCTTCATTTTCTATATGACTTTCCTCTCATGCATTCATGCCTGTAGGAAGATGGCTGAGTCTCACAGCGCCGGAGACACGGTGGACGCCTTAAAATTTTTATCAAAGAGGTAATTATTCTCCGATGATGACTATCTGACTATCCATATGTTCATCCTGTATGCTCCATTCAAAGGTCTGTTCAAAATAAGGTAATATTCTCATACAGGTAACAGCTGCTTACTGTAAAGGCCCTACACACTCACACAGCTGTTTTAACACACTGCTTAAACAGTTAAACAATTTCACATCCACCTGAGCTGTCTAAACATGTTAAAAAGTCTGTGTATGTGTTACAGTGCTAAACAAGTTCCTCTAGTATTAAATAAATACAACGCATGTCCACAAATCTGTGTGTGTGTGTGTGTGTGTGTGTGTGTGTGTGTGTGTGTGTGTGTGTGTGTGTGTGTGTGTGTGTGTGTGTGTGTGTGTGTGTGTGTGTGTGTGTTAATGTTCAGGTCGAATGAGGCGCCCAAAGACAGCCCTAAGACTGCTGAGGAAATGGACTCTAAGCCCGTCAGAGGCGGCAGTAAAGCAGAGAGCTCCGACCCGTACCGCTACAAGATGGACTACCCCTCCCTCGGAATCTGTCTGATTATCAACAATAAGAACTTCCACCAAAGCACACGTAAACACACCCGTTCGACGAGTGACACACCCACTGATGCACACATTGCATGGCCACTTCCACAAATGTTCTGTTCATCCAATAATTGTAGGAGAGTCTTTTCTCAAGAGTGCCAATGCGTCAGCTAATTTCAGTAACTGCCTAAAACCCATTAGTCATACATGATTAATACAACAGCCAGATGTGTAGAGGTGTAAAAAGGGTCAGAGCTCAGCAGATGATGTTGTTGTTATGTTGAGTGTTTTGGCTGCACCAGTGCAGAGGTGGTATGCTTACAGAGAAGAGATGGGGGAAGTGTGACTAAAATCCAGTTCTGAGAAATCTTGATAGGTCACAGCAGGAGAAGCACAGGTATAAAACTTTTCAGGTTCCTGGTGCTGTGCATGTTCACTGCCTCAGTGTAATTGTGTTATAAGACACACATATGCTTTATTCTACCAGGAATATTCCATTAGGATTGAGGATCTCTTGTACAAGGGAGTCCTGGCCAAGACACCCGCATAAAGGTTCACGGCCATAAACATAAACACATTTTTCCGACTGTGACTGTCTGCTGTGTGAAAGGCCTTTCTGACTGACATTCTCTTTCCACATTTCAACTCTGTATGTTTGAATTAAGCTCATGAATGCCTATTAAGGCCTCCACAAAGCCACACCACGTCCGCCTCCTCTGTTTCTCTTCCTAAGTTCACCAAAAGCGGTCACAATATTTAATTGTGTTATTCCATTTCACACACAGATTAGAGAGCTTCTATCTTGGGTCTACAAAATAAATCTTTATTATTAATAGTGCAGCAGTGAATAAGTGTGAAGTAAAGTGCAGAAAGAGTTTCAGGCCTCTATCAGAGAGCTGTCCAAAAGTTACACAAACAGGAAATGTGAGTTCATAAGGTTCCGGTTTTGTAGCATGTAGCATCCCTGATCACTGTACCATAGTGTAGATACTGATACCGCCTCTCCTCCTGTGTGTTTGTGTTTCCCTCTAGACATGAGTCCTCGTAATGGGACCGATGTGGACGCTGCTACCGCCATGAAGACCTTCACTGATCTGGGTTATGACATTAGATTCCACAACGATCTGACCATGAACCAGATGAGAGAACAGATGTTGAACAGTAATAGAAACTACAGTTTTTCACTCATTCGTGCTCGGCACTGTGACTGTGTTCACGTTCAACATTTGATTTAAAGGTCCAATGTTGGTAAAGGATTATCAACAGCCGTGTTTCCATCATTTTGAAGTAATGCTTGGAAACGGCAAAGTTTGTACGGTTGCTTGAGGTGGCTTTTGCCTTTTTTGAGAAAGAGTTAATGTGCTTCAAATGTTCATGTGACTGATCAGTTGTTCCCGCTCCAACAGTCTCCTCATTGCTCCCATGGCTGTCTAAAACATCCATGATCACTTCACACAGACCTGATTTAAACCTAAAATCTGAATGAACCAACTCTTCATAATGGCATAACAGCATTGGATGGAAGCAAGCGTTTATTCATATTTACTTATCCGGAATTACTTAAAATTGGGATACATTTGGATGGAAACATGGCTAATTATCAGGTGAAACAGGACTGCATTGCCACAGGAGCCTGCAGCAACCGTTAGTTAATTACCTCACACACTCATTAACCTGAATAAGCATTCTTGCATTGTAACTAAAACTGCCAGACTCCTCAAGATACTGCGCTGCCCAACAATTAAAACAAGCGAGTAAAATGTATCTAGACTGGCAGTGTAACTCTGTCTGTCTGTCTGTCTGTCTGTCTGTCTGTAGTATCCAAGGAGGACCACAGCCGAAGTGCATCATTTGTATGCGTGCTGCTGAGTCACGGAGATGAGGGGGTGATCTATGGAACTGACGGCGCAGAGAAGTTTGAAAACCTGACCAAACACTTTAAAGGAGATCGCTGCAAGAGTCTGGTGGGGAAACCGAAACTCTTCTTCGTACAGGTTAGTTTAATAAGCCCACGTCTCCACACACACACACACACACACACACACACACATAGAGACAGTGTTATGTGTCTTAGGATGCTTGTAGACAGGTTATAGATATGGTTTAAATAACAGAAGTTGAACACTTCATGTGCAAAAGTCAAAATGCTGGGCTCATTGTGACACCTGCAGTTAAATCCTAATCTCTGAAAGCCATAATAACCTTTCAGCATATTCTTATTCTGGTCTAAGAGAAAAGTCTGCAGTGCCTGTCCCTTCAGATAAAGCCTAGTATCGCATAGCCAGTGGAGCCTGGGGAGCTCTGGCCCCCGGGGGCCGTAGAGCGCTGGGCAGTACAATGAACTCGTTAGAGTAAATGAGCCACCGCTGGTTGTTACTGTAGCTTTTAAACCACACGCCCTGTCTACAGAGTGTCAGTACTATCATAATTAATGAGCACATATACCTGGATCTCCTGTCCTTTCTTAGGCGTGCCGTGGGTCACAACTGGACGACGGCGCCCTCGTCGAGACCGACAGCATCGTGGATGAGCAGACATCAGAGAGGATTCCTGTGGAGGCAGATTTCCTCTACGCTTACTCCACCGCTCCAGGTAAACTAATAGTGGTAGAAAAAAAAAGACTCTTTGACCTGTGAATAATTCTGTCCTTTCATACATTTTATTCAGTGGTATTAACACAGTGAATTCTCCCCGCAGGCTACTACTCGTGGAGAAACGTGTCCAACGGTTCCTGGTTCATGCAGGCGCTGTGTGCGATGTTGCAGCGTTACAGCAAACAGCTCGAGCTGATGCAGATCATGACCCGAGTCAACCGCAATGTGGCGCAACAGTTTGAGTCCTCCTCGGACCTTCCCGGATTTAGCGGCAAGAAGCAGATCCCCTGTATCGTCTCAATGTTGACCAAAGACTTCTACTTTCCCGTCTAGATTAAGATTAAGTGTTCACCTACAAGAAACCACCTGCCAGTAGGAAACGTCATCCATTTCATATTGATCTGTTTCTGCTGATTTCTTCTCTCTTTGTCCAAAACGCTAAAGTCTTGCGATGTGTTGTGTAGTTTGTGTGAAACAAGATAGCATTCATTACAAGGACTGTTATACAAGGGGTACAAGGAGAATCTAAATGCATTATAGACATGGAGCAGGCCTGTGTGATTTATATTGATATTTTTTTTCTAATAGGTTTTTAGTGTTGGGAATTTTTAGGAAAACCTTTTTAGCTGTTTTAAGTCTATTGTTGATCATTAAATATACTAAAGGGTGTTTTTATTTCCTGGGATCTTCCAATATGCCTTTTTCAGACACTTAAACAGTAGCAGAAATGTGAACCTTACTACATGTGGAGTGGCTACATAAACATCGTACTGTATATTTATTTATATAGAAAACAGTTAATTTACCACATACTTGTCTGATTTGTAACTGTTTTTAATGCAATGATTGCATGAATATAAATAATAAATACATCAGTGTGATTGTGTAGATCTAATTGATCTTCTGAGTCTCTTATCATCCAGCACATGAAACAGTTAATCTACCAGCACAACAATAATAATGCTAATAATGAATACTCTAAATGTGAGTAGTGTTTGTAGATATTTACTTTTTCAGGTAATACACCTACTGTAGGTTGTAGTTCTTGCTTTTATTCACTGCTACAGTCACAGTCACTGTGTCTGCACTCAACATCTGGGAATGTTTGTATGCCTTTAAAAAGAGTTGAGGAGAGACCGTATATAGATTTATTTGGCAATAATAAAGGTAAATACAAGACTGTATTCGCCTTGTCCTCATACAATTAAATTGCTGAAGATAAAAACACTAAAATATTTATTTCCCCTGTGCTCCTTACAATAGGAAAGGGTAAAATTAGTTTGTGTCTGAATGCCAGCACAGAGAAAAAGATGTTTGGCACACACGTGAATTCTATTTTGTAGAGAAATTATCACTCAGATTATAATTTCATTTGTACCAGAAGGTGGCAGCATAATCAAAGTGGCAACCCAAAGCCACAGGAAGACTTCCTAATGCTGCAGGGAGGCTTTTTCCTGCCCCTCAAGAATTCAGTCTACTGACCAATGGAGGCCTGCAGTTAAAGGAGTCTGTTGTGGTTAACATTCAAAGACACTGTGCATCAAAGAAGAAATTAGATATGCATCCAAGATCAGGGAGGTAATATAAAACTCAGTATGCAGAGTTTCTGTTTGTTCATCGAGGTTAATAAAAGCAAAATGAATAATGTAATTAGACCTGTGATGTGTTTTCCTTTGGCATACTGTCCAAAACAGTTTATATAACAGCTTGTGATAATTGTTTGAGTGATGGTTACCACTAGAGGAAGCCAGAGAAACATTCAGAGTAGTTCTGATTGTGGCCTTTAATGAATCAGCAACCTTTTAAAAACTCTTCCAGGAACTGAAATGCGGTCTAATTTAACCCCTGATGCACGGACTGCAGTTAACATACAGCTGAATGAGGTTTTCTCCATGGTTTGGTGCCATGTTTGATCCCAGCTGTCAGTGATTGGAACAAAGGTCCCCGAGTATGATGTAGAGCAGGGGTCTCGAACTGAAAATGTCTTGGGGTCACAGCTGGTGTTGTCATCTCATAGAAGGGCCACTGATCGAGTACTAAACTACTATACATTTGGATATGATAATGTTAGATAATCTTTGTTGTTCGCAGCCAAACAACAAATGAACAGTTTGCAGGTAACTTTGACCTTATTTTGTGACAAACATAATATTATTTTTTATTTTATTTTCATTGTTTATGAAAGGTATATGAAGTTTACATTTTTAAAATGCGGAGATGGACCCCGTGCCAGCAGTTTGAGGCCCCCGATGTAAAGCATGACTCTGTCCCTTCTGTCTATATGTCTGCTTATTTTCCCTTCTTTTTGGCCCACCAACTATAAATATCTCTATTAGTTTATCAGACCCCTCCCCAGGCTTAGCTGCAGCCTGTGTGTGTGTCAGAAAGAGATAACCCAGACTTGGTGCAGATCTCTGCCGGTCCAGAGGATTGTGACATGACCCAGTGTGACTTTTCAAAACTGCCTCCTTCAGTTTATACGTAGTAAATATCAGTGCTTTTCAAACATCCTATTTTCTGTTCCTGTTTTGTTTTTTAATGCTGTTTTCTCTTTGACCTAAACAGAAAGGGCCCTATAGGGGGCAAACAGTTGCAGAAAATTACACATTTCATAATCATACTAAAGCTTAAATAGCTGCTTCCAATGCATGAATGTGTTTTTATTTTAAAGTAGAAACATAAAGTCATTCATAATATTGAAAGTAAACGTTTTCAAATCTGCTTTAACATTATGGGAATATTATATTAATGTAATATTATATTAATAAATTTTTTGGTGACATATAACCAATACTATAATTTACTGTTAACAAACAGTTGCATTTCTAACTAATCAGCAGTGCAGCTATAGGTTAGCCTATAAAAGACCTCCTATATATAACTCTTGTGTTCAATATAAAATGGCCACAGGTCTAACACACACACACACTAACTAAAGGACATCAGTTCAGCACAGGCAAATGAAGTAAGAATGTGCATTTTCCAAATAACTGCAGGTGGGATGTTTAATCTCTCTGTCTCACACACACACACACACACACACAGTAAGTTTCTGGTTTCGTTTCCAGCCCCGACCGCGCAGAAAGGGCTGGATGGCGGGGAGGAGGGCTGCAGGGTTACAGAGGAAGTGAAAATGAAATCCAGCTCAAAGATCGTCTATGTTTTTGAAGAAACAGGATTCGGTGCTGGAATTAGTTTTCACCACGTGGTCCTCTGCAGTTGGCAACACCCTCACGTTTTGTTTCACCCAACCTTACATGTGTTTTAATGATAGAGATTTAGTGATATTTGCAACATTTGTCCACGGTGTTGCAGTTATGTATGGGTGGAATATCAGCTGTGTTTCTCAGCCTTATTACCAGCTGTTGCAGTCTCTAAGGTGCATGAAAAAGGAAAGCCTAATCTGTTTATGCACCTTTTTGTTGTTGTATTTCACACTTGCTTCCCGTGCAAACAAAGCCCCTCTGATCTGAATTGGTCTTGACACTCAGGTTCAGAGATAATTGATTAATCACAATTGAAAATTGTGTTGTTACAGCAGCCAAAGTCAGTACTTATAACTCACAAAACAAACTACTAAAGGAAACGCAAAGATAAAAGATAAAATGAAATATCAAAACTGATATAATAACATCTGTAACTATATATTTAACCAAAACCATAGTACTCTGATAGTGCCTGGTAATATGTGGACTGGTAGTGCAAAATATCAATGTACAAACTATGTATACACAGGTACACGGGGTAATTTGATTTTAATTTAATATATCTTTTTAGGGTGACAATGTAACATCTGCCCAGGAACTAAATATGAAAAATAGAGATAACAGCCACCTAAAAAGACTTTGAAAAATATTGATAATATAAAAAAATTGTCAACATCTTGTGGGCGAAATACAGCAATGTTCAAACAGTATGCAAGATTTCTGAGCTGCTGTCACTGGAGAAGGACTTCCAATGGAAACCAACCACCATGAAGGCTGTAGATCACCTGTATACACCTGCACTGACCACTGGCACTGTGCATCCTCTGTACGTAGACACACTTTGTCTTCTGTACATACATACAGAGGAAATATCTTTAAAGACACCCATTCTATTCTATTCTCACTTATTTGTATTTATTTTTTATATTTATTTATATAAGTCTTTTTTTTTTACTTACCTGTGTATATACAGTGTATTTGTAATAGGTAAAAATTACAATTACTTTATTTTTTTATCTCTTAATGTCCATTTTTTTAAATTGTTTTTATTTCACACTTGAAGAAAACTGGCAATGTAAACGTCTCCCACACCAATAAACCTCATTTGAATCGAATTGAACTAACACGTTTATCAATAAATCACAATGAGGGGGGGAAAGGTGTCCCCCCAGAGAAATCCGCGCGGAGTGATCTCTCTTCTTCGCGACCAGCTTTTCTTTACGGGGTGCGCGCACGCAGCCAAAAGAGACTTCCGCGACGCCGCTCGAGATTTTAACCCAGAGCGAGAGCACGGGAGCAGGAGGGGGATTTCCAGCTCGAGCCCCCACTTCCCCGAGCCAGTCGCTGTTTTGCTTTCGGTCTGGACACAGAAACAGAAATAAACGACGGCCACACTTTCCCTTTCCCCCCCTCCTCCTCCTCCTCCGTCTTAAAAACCACTAATAACATTAACTTGTCCAACTTCATCCGCCGCGCTTGTTGTCTCCGACAGCGGGACTGGGAAGCTACAGGCCGTCCAAAAACTGACCAGGTAACATTTTTATTTCCGCATGTTAAAACGCTGTTGACTTGCGCTCACACACACACACTACACTACACACACACACACACAGAGGCAATCCTACAGGACGACATGACGGCTCCCTTGCTCGCTGTGTAAGTGAAAGTAGAGCTGCAGCTTTTGTCGGCGTTTGTTGACGAGGTAGGGCATTTATTTTCACTTTTGGATCGGGTTTGTTTTTCTGGGTCAGCACGCTGGCAGACAAACACACCGCGGTTAACTTGACTTGACCCCCCGACCCTCCTCCTAATGGTTAAATCAAACTTCAAAGCACAAATAAACCAAAACATCCTAAAAAAAAAAAAAAAAAAAAAAGTCAGCGGTGGTTTGGCTTCTATTTTTGATAACATGGACAGTTTGCAGTAAGTTTTCGCTGTAGCTGTGTATGTATGTATGTGTGTGTGTGTGTGTGTGTGTGTGTGTGTGTGTGTGTGTGTGTGTGAGGAGATAAGGACTGACTGGTGAACATTATTCGTGGTGTATTCAGGCCTCTGTGCATGTGTTAGTAAATCAGAGTACTGTAAGCAGTGTGTTTTATATCCTGTTTTTGCAACTTATAAATAGGCTTTGTAAAAGTGGTTGTTAGTAAGTAGGGTAAGTCTTACTTAAGCGTATATAAATGTCATTGTTTTAATGTACTAATGTGATATTATTAGACTTTCTGCGTTGTAGTCATAATTAGCTATCATGCAGACAGTGTTATTCATACTATCCATACAGCCTGACTACTTTTACCTACTTATTTTTAAAACCAAAGGTAGTAAATGTCCGTCCTTGTGCAATCGGGAAGAAAAACAACACATTGCCACATGGTAGTACAACCAGCAGTGAGTTAATGGCTTAACCACATAATCTGACCTTTTCTTTTTTCATTTTAACCTTAAAACTAGTGACTGTTTTCACCAATACAGCCTTACAAACGTCTGATTCAACATCTACAACTACCACACAGTATTGATGTTTTCCACGGTAATATGGAGCGTATGATATTGTCCTGCAGTCAACCTGTGTACAGTGTTTCACCGAGCAGTAAGCCGGATGCAGCTGGAAGTTTCAACCCTGTGGCTCATAAGGGATAATATTTTGTATTTGATGTTGTGCCATGTCACCCTGTTTGACCTGTTAGGGAGCTCGTTCTCACGTCAGGAGGCGCTGTGTGTGTGTGTGTGTGTGTGTGTGTGTGTGTGTGTGTGTGTGTGTGTGTGTGTGTGTGTGTGTGTGTGTGTTCACTGTACTGTGCACGGGGAGTGTCAGGCTCACTGGCTGAGCTGGCCCACCGGACTTTGAACACATCAGACTGCAGAGATCATAACCCTGCTCTTAAATCAAATATGGTTGGGTGGGTGAAGATTGTTCTCACTCGCTGTATTTCTGATCTTCTTCCAGGTCTTTCTGTTGTCCTCCCTCTTCTCTTTCCTGTAATATTTTAGTTGACTTTAATCAGATGAAGCCAGACAATGTGGGGTTGTGGATAGGAGCGCTCGACGTTGCTGCAGTTACAGACATGATTTGACAGTTTTTATTTGTGAACAGTATTTTATGACCCTTTATCTTTACAACCACAGTCAAACTGGGCTCATTTTGTTTTGCTCACAAAGGACGATTGCATGGAAAATAATCTTAAGTGGTTGCTTCCTCTCACATCGTTAGGCGGAATAAAACACGCAGCATTATGTTTTGATATTTATATCGTTGCCTTTTACTAATTACAAAATGAAAATATCATAGTACATTATAATATAAATATATAGACATATACGTGACTGTGTGTTTGTGTCTGAATTTGTGTGTTCACAGGACACAATGCCAGTAGAGAGAATGAGGATGCGACCGTGGCTGGAGGAACAGATCAACTCCTGTCAGATACCAGGGCTTAAATGGGTTAACAAAGTAAGTGTACAATGATGGACACACACACACACACACACATATACATATATACTACAATTAAAGAGCTGACACCATGTAAATGTCTCCAGGAAAAGAGGATCTTCCAGATACCATGGATGCATGCTGCCCGTCACGGCTGGGACCTGGAGAAAGATGCTCCGCTCTTCATGAGATGGGCCATCCATACTGGTAATACACAGAGCTACGCTCTACACTCACTGGTTCTCTTTTTAAGTGGTTTTCATTCCCATGCCAGACCCGCAAGGACTTCTCTGTCTAAAATCAAAGAAAGTTTCGATTTGCGTAATATTTTTAAACAAGAAATCAAAAATCATCAAGTTGCTGGAGTGTCCCAGTCCCTTTGAGGTTAGGGATACACCGATACCTGTATCGGGCCTGATTCTGTCCTCGTGCTCGTAATTGTCATCGATTTTTCTGATGAAAATAAGACCCATCGTGTTTCTAGTCATTATTAGAGCTGTAATGGTTATTATTAAGTACTCATACTTTTACTTTTAGTTGGTCTGATAAAAAGTGGCATCGGTGCATCCCTACTTAAGGTACCTTTTGTTAGGAAGTACACAGCGTTTCTGTAAGTCCTTGCTGCGTCTGTAAAGAGGAAAATGTTTGAAAATCAGCTTGATTCTTCCCCTGCACCAGAAAAAGAGATAGTTAGTGGAAACTCTTAGTTTATATTCACTTCTACACTTCAGGTGTCTCCAATGTAGCTGAAATCATTGAGCATTCAGCTGGTGTGTTCAGGCGTAGCTTATTGGGATCAATACTCACTAGCAATACTTAGTTCAATGACCAGTAGTTGAACTGATTTTGCAGTATTAAGTGTGTTTATGAAGTGAATTGCTTAATTTTCATAGCTATCAAGTCCACTGACCTAAACTTACATATGTTCTTGTAATTATTTAAAGAAAATACATCAAACTAGCAGACAATTGTTAAATGATGATAAACTTTTCTACAGTAAAACAGGCTTTAAACATAGAAAAACAATTAAGCAGACCAACAAATGTACATAACAAAAAAATATTTTAGATTCATCTCTAACAGAACAGTGGGCAAATCCAAGCTGAATCATATATGATGAAAATATAATATAATAATAATTAAATTGATTATTTACTTGGAAAATGATGGTGATTTTTGTGTCATAGGCCATCTGTGATTTTCTGTTTCTGTGTAGGTAAATACCAGCCCGGCACAGACCGTCCAGATCCCAAGACGTGGAAGGCTAATTTCCGCTGTGCCATGAACAGCCTGCCGGACATCGAGGAGGTGAAGGATAAAAGTATCAAAAAGGGAACGAACGCCTTCAGAGTTTATAAGATGCTGTCCTCGTCAGAGAGGAGCATGAAGAAAGGTGAGTGCTGCTGCTGATCATCACAGATTTGATTTATTTTGAGTTCTATATTTACTGTATTAACACACTTTAAATCAATTTCTAAATGGTTTCTCTCTGTATGTCCATCTAGGAAAGAAGAAAACAGATAAGGAGGGGAGGCCCAAGGGAAATAAAGAGGTACACAAAACAGCTACACAATTAATCGAAATATCTAGTGCAATATGCAAAATAACAAGAGCTGTAATGTTTTTGATAAAGGTAAAAAAATAATGTGTGACAAAACAACATTGTAATGAAGAACTGTAGTGCTGCAGAGGTTCCCTACACATCTTGTTCTCCAGAATTGGTACAAACCCCCAAACATTTCACATCATCATAACTTTAGTAGTTGTTCAATTTGTGATGCAAAAACGATAATTCCTACCTAATCGCGAGTTGCAGTATCTGTCCAAATAATCTCAATATGATGTTTTTACCATATCATGCAGCCCCAGTACACAAAGCAAAACTTCTTTTTACACATTAAACCCACAACATTGGCAGGATAGGGTAGTGGTTTCTGTGGGCACGTTGCACAAAAAAATCTCTTAAAGAGGATGTTCACATGTGACTTATGAATAATTAGATTTGACTGCAGAAGAACTGTAGTACGATGGGAAACGATAACACCACAATAAAAGAGCGTGTCTCTCATTTCCACACTTGCCTTGCAATTAATTGTCCTCCTGGCTTGTTCAGTGACATGTGACACACAAGAATACCTACAGAGACATTTCATGTGAAAGCAAAGCTAAGGGTTTTTCTGGAAGTATTGCTCAATTCTGAGGTGGCAGATTTGACTAACATGAACAATCCAGTTGCCACATGACACACTTTTGCCAGAGTAGGTGAAGTAAACAAGCCCTCCTCCCTCCATTTGGTTCTGACTCTCCAAGCAATGCAAAACAAAAAAATGTAAAACCAGTAGCTGCTACCTCCTGTTGTAAATGAGTAGTGAAATGATGGAATTGATTCTCTGTTTCAAGAGTCAGCAAAAAGGAATAGAAAACACTATTGACTTTTAACTGTTCTATACATAGCCTAAAATGTACTTCAGTACATCAAAGTATACTTTCTTACACTGCGTTTTCTTCTAGAAACATTCACGTTGATGTAACCCTCCCAGAGTACTTCATTTAAGAAATACTGAAGAATTCAATGAGTAATAACCCCCCCTCAAACTATCAGTATGTTAGAAATAAACAAGACACCAACTTGATTAATATTGGCTGGTTAGTTTAGGGTATTTCGGTCAGTTTCATTTGTGTGTTTACATGCCTGAAATGTTCCAGATATTAGCTTGTATCCGGCTATGGTCTTAGTTGGAATAGGCTATTTATAAACCTCACTTAAAATGTTTAGCAAGTCTCTGCACTGGGTCACTACTTCCCAGTTGTCTTATTAGAGTTCAGCCTGAGTTATTATGTTGAGGATTTTGTGTTTTAAATGGGCATGTGAGTGTTGGTGTGCATATAACTGGTATGAATGGAGATTGAATTACATGTTTTCTGCTTTGTATGTTCTGCTAATACAGTTGTTCCTCTTTTTAGAATCAAACTCTGCATGAACAATGGACTATATATTGATCTGATACATCTTTTTCTTTCTCTTTTTTCCCCCCATTAGATAGCTTCTCCAGACCGGACTCTTCCTGACGCTTACAGTGGACCTATTGACTACACCAAACAGGAAGCGATCAAGCAGGAAACAGTAGAGCTTACAGTGATGGACAGCGCCTCAGGTACTACACAAGTCTTCTTTATGAATAGGTTGGGGCTATTTCGGGGTCTACCTTGGTTTATATTTCTCCGTGGGTGTGTTGTGATTGCAGAAGAGTTTGTGTTTCTAGGTACAGCATAATGTTTCTGGCAGTCTGGTTGATGACTTGATGTTGACTTGAACATGTACAGCACAATAACTAAATCCTTCCCATGTATATGCAGTATCTGCTTACACTGATTAGAGGTATGGTTTCCACCATTTAAAGGGCCAGTTCATCCCCAAATCAAAAATTCACATTTTTACCTCTTACCTGTCGTGCTTTTTATCCATATTGATTGTTTTGTTGTGAGTTGCTGAGTCTTGGAGATGTCTTCCTTCTCTCTTCTCTCTCCCGTATACTCAGAATAATCCACAGTCTTTTCATGTTTCATGTAGGGGCTGCAAGATCTGGTAAAAAAAAATCATATTGCGATCATTTTTGACAGATATTGCGATATGATTCATGATTGGGAATGATGATGATGATGATGATGATGATGGTGATGATGTGACATATGTTCTCTTACATCTGGGAAACAAGCTTAGTAGTCCAGGGCATCTCCGCTCTACAGTACTTTATTATACTTGATTTTGGTAACATTTCGATTTATTGTGCGGCTCTAGTTTCATGTAGGAACAGTTTTCTTTCTATGCTTAAATATCTCTACAGGTTAAAGGAAACGTGTGTTTTTGATTTGGGGGTGAACTAAATATTAAGTCATAGACTTGATGTGTATGAAGGGATGATGAAAGAAAATCACAACTCTTTATCTCGCAACTGCGGTTAGATGTGTAACTACATCTTCAGCCCGTTCTAACATATCCCGTCTGTCCTTTCGCAGCCATTCACAGTTCCGTAGAAGACCATGTGATCACCAGCGAGCAGCTGCCATTCGTCTGTCAGACGATTGAAGTGACCACTGAGAACGAAGAGCAGACCGTTAGCTCCTCCCACTCGTACCCGCTCCAGATATCTCCTGTGTCTTCATGTTGCGGTGAGACCACGCACACACACACACACACACACACACACACATCGCAATTTACCACAATCTGTTACAAGAAGGAGCATAAATAGGTTAGTTAAATGGGACCAGGCTTGTAGAAGCAGTCAAAGTTATTTAGAACCACAGCTTTGACCACAGTTATGAAGAGCAACAAAGTGGCTACCACACACACACAAAGGAGCAGCTTCCCATGGTTAATGCTACTTTTGTGTTTTGGAGGAACGCACAGCTTTATCTGGCTGACAGCTCAGTTTCTTGGTTTGGTGCAAGTGGTGTTCATTTTGAATAACCAGCGAATAACAAAACTGTGTTTCAGGTTGCGACCTGATGAACTGCTCATATCTGTCATTGCATCGTTCACCTAAAGCGTCTGCAACTTGTGTATTTCAGTACCCAGATTGTATCTTAAAGCAGGAACAATGTGGGTAAACCAGCTGAATGTTAAAAACCATAGACGTAAAACCGAAAACCAGGGTGTCCGTAGTGTTTAATATCCATAATCCAATAATTTTTAGAATTGTAGGCATTAAAAGGTCTTGATTTTTTACTTGAAAACATGATTTTGACTCTTAAAAACTGATTGGATTAATTAAGCAAACGTAAGATAAAAGTGAAAATAAAACTTCAAAAGAAATACGTTTCGGGGGGAGATTTATGCAGGAGAGTAAAAGAAGTCAAATTGTTCTTGCTCTTGCAATACGAGATGTGCTTCTTCTGTTTAAAGAGATCAATAACTATACAGGCTCAGACTAAACATGGTGATTCTGCTGAAATACTTTGTGATACTCAGACATTATCAACACTGGACCCCTTTTTCATCTTAAATAGTTTTATTAGCAACCACCTTGAGATCTGTTTATCTCTCCTCTCTTTGTGTATGCATTGTCGCAACCAGTCATTCAGGCTGAGTTGGCTCTACCAGTTTACAGTTGTAATCATTCCATCTAACTTTCTTCTTTGTTCGATGAGCTTTTTTTTTTTTCTTTCTTAGTTGCTACAGTGACTTGAAGAGTCAGGGTTCAAATGAAAATCATTCGTAGTTCTCTTCTTTCACATGTTTTTTTTTTCTACTTCACTTACTTTAACATATGCATTTCATTGTGCTACTGTATGCAGATGTTTACTCTGTTTAAACTGTAGATGGTTTATTTTCTGGTTAAAATCAGGAATTGACTTTTCCTCTTTCTCCCGTTCCCCACATGGTTCTCTCTGTATATAATCTAAAGATTGCTTGTTGCAAAATTTCCATTTCCTGAATACTAATTTAACTGTTTATGTGTGTCTTTATTTGTACAGCCAGCGAAACAGACAGTGACACAGAAGACACAAAAGAGGTGAGTCTCTTGTAACGCACAGAGGAGAGACCGATGAATGAATTATTAACTGCTCTCTGGTCTTCAGATAAACAGGTTTTTACCTGTTTCAACCTTACTGCTGAAACAGGGTGTGTGTATGTGTGTGTGTCTGTGTGTGTCTGTGTGTATGTGTGTGTGTGTGTGTGTGTGTGTGTGTGTGTGTGTGTGTGTGTGTGTGTGTGTGTGTGGTGTGTGTGTGTTCCTTCCTGTAATGTTGCGAGAGACTGAGAAAAGGGAGGGCCTTGTCAGGAACTGTGACTGTCAAACATTAACAGTTTGATCTGAGGTTGTCCTTTGTAGTACATTGTACCCACAGTGAACACATGCCCGTGCACGCACTCTCACTCTGTCTCTTATCAGTGGTAAGAGTACAGTGTTCTTAACTGTGTTGTAATGTTGAAATGTTTTAATAGTATTCAGTAAGAATAGGTGTGATACAGTAACATAGACACTTTTATATGTAATGAATTCCAAAGCAACAGCCTGTGAAGCACATAATGTTCAAATATTTAGACTGTATCACAGAGGCGTTGATTCAGCTCAGATCCTTTTTGTGGTGGTGTTTTTGGTGTTGTATTACAATTTCATGGCCAACATACGTCAGAGATTAGCCACAGCCGTTATGTCTCTGACTGTAGTTTTGCTTATACAGATATGTTACCTTCCTCTTCTCCTTCTCCTTTTTGCATTGTTTTAACTTCCAGGGTGTCAGCGCAGTCCTGAGGCGGGACTACAGCTCATCAGTTCTCAGGGTTCCCACATTCCCTCTTCCCGGCATGGCCACCTTCGTCACTGCGAGCAAGCCAAACTTCAGGGTCACCAGTACACGGGACCCGGCCCCCCTCATCAGCTACCACACTGATGGCTGGACGCCGGCCTACAGCCAGAACTCTCTCGAGTCTGCGGCAGCCAGCCACACCCATGAGATGCGCGCGAGTGTCATTATGAAAACCTCTGATGTCACTTCTTCCTGACCTCTGACCCCAGATGAAGGAGTATCATCATCATCATCACCACCATCACCACCACCGCTTTCAGGGCATAGGAATGACAAAGATTGCTCCATCTCTCTCCATCAGGGCGACATGGAGAGAACCTTTGATTTTATTGTAGCTTCTGTCCCGGCCATGACTCTCACTTTTCCTTTTAATCGGGGAGCTTGTCGACCGGTGTTAAGTAAATTAGCCATGGTTTGACTTGCTCACTATTTGGTGAGCACTTAAGCCCATTTGCAGACCATCTGTGGCCCATGTCCATGAATTATATCTGGCCTTTTAGACACTGTAATCATCCACGTGTCACTGGTAGATCATTTTCTCTGCTGCTTTGTGCTGACACTTTAGCATACACTATGCCAAATAAAAGACCACTTTTATCTAATGAAAGTAAAATTAGCTTTAATTGTAAAAATGTCTTAATGTTTTTTATTGCACAACTTGTAGATGAATGTATTTTTTTAATCCATCATCTCTGAGCCAGTATTGCCTAGCTGTAGGTTTTAAACTACATCCTCATAAATCCACTGTTTTTATTTTGCTGCACTTAAAACCTTCACTTTTTATGTCAAACAGTCCTTAATAGTTCATCACAGGAATTAGTTTTTGTATTTTATCTACATTTTTCCCATCTCCTTCATAAAGTTGCCAGATTTAGCCACATGTCATTTAAGATTCACCATTAAGTATTGGAACCTGCTTTTTCAAAATAGTGTGAGCTCAAGTGTTGGCATGAAACGTGGCACTAAATGCTGGGACACATGGCTGCAACAAAGATTATGTATTTCCGGAATCAACCTGCGTTCATAAACAATGAACACAACTTTTTATAGGAGATTACATCTGTTGGCAAACCGGCTTTACTCGCAGCAAGCTGCAAAAACAATCAAAGGTGAGTTGTTTATCAAGATAAAGAACAAAGCCCTGACATAGCCCACATTTGCCCTGCAATGGAAAGCGGGTGCGAACGTATCTGTCTGTCTGTCTGGAGACCTCAGGACAATGTACCCGCCAACACACAGACAGATGAACAGACAGAAAAGAACGACAGACTCACTGACAGACAGACTGACAGACTGTGAACTATATATTCGTGTCTTCTCCCTTCCTCTGCCTCCTGGTGTTAATAATGTACATAGCTCATATGTATGTATGCCTGCAAGCCGCTTCAGCACCTTACGGACAGCACTGGTGAGTGAGTGAGTGCGTGAGTGAGTGCGTGCGTGAGTGAGTGCTTGAGTGAGTGAAAAAAAGCCTTATTGAAGATGTGTGCCTTTTGATTCAAATGGCTGGATTCAAACTATCTGTGCTTTAGTCTGCTAGTGAGGCGTGCAGGTAGCTTTCAGGAAGTATATCCGGCCCCGATGTGGATTGGGACAGCAGCGCTTTAGTGGACGTAGACGTTAGTAGACGTTGGCCATATTTTTATGCACAGAGAGTCTTGACCTGGTTAACTTGAGTCACCGTAAGAGAAGTGAGGGCAATCTGCAGTTAATTCTGTGCATTTAAAGTGCATATTCTTGGCAGTGATAACATGGAGCGGGGAAGTCTGGGCTTGAGAGACATCCCAGAGGACTGTGTCATCAGCAGAGGCTGAGCTCTCTTGTTTTTTAACTGTCTAGTCTCTTAGCTCTAAACGCCCCATTCCCCAGTCGACCTCGGTGCACAGATGTGGCAGTCTTGTGTTCTTCCTCTCCGTTCTTCCTAGTCTGGAGCGCAGCAGCCATTAGCCTTAATCCTGATGTCTTAAAAATAAAATTATTTTGACATCTTAAAGTAATATATACACAGAATGATGAGCTATGGCAGCAAAAGGAAGATATTCCTTTTTTGTGTCAGTTTTGGAGAAAGATCAGTGGTTTTATTATTATCTGGCATAATGTAATTTACCTAAAAAAAAATAAATAAATAAATAAAAAAAGTACCAGAATATGAAATGTTCATATTAGGACCCCTTAGAGTTGCAGCTCCTCAGTTAGGAAAAGGTATATCAGAAAGCTACTTGTGTTGGCAGCAGGCAGGCTAAAGCACAGGCTGCCTTTAGCAAACTCCAGTGGGAACTGAACGTTCCTGTAGGAAAACAATAGGAAGAATAGGAATCTGCCATGATTTTGAACCAAAGCACTAGAGAGATTTACACTGGATGCACATTACTATCATGGCAAATTTTATTTAAGATTCTCAACGAATCAGGGGGGTTAGGGCGAGAATAGGCATCGCTTTACCAAATGTTTCTTTCATGTGCCTTTATTAGAATCTCTCATCACATGCTTCTATTTCTGCGTGGTTTCACTTCGTAATAGTTCTCAAGGGGCTGCAATACAAAGGATATATTTAAAGCATTGTATGCTGATTATTTTGTCAGCAGCCGTCACAAACGCCTGCTCTTTTTTTTTTTGTTAACCATGTATTTGTTCTTGAGCCCTTTTTTTTTTTTTTTTTTTTTATCTTCAGCCATGTCATCACATCCTCTACATATTGGAAAATAACAGTTGGGATTTACACAACCCTGTAGTTGTAAAGATCAAATCAGATGCTGTTAATTCTTTGTGAGACTTAAATGTGCCTAATTACTATAAGTGTCGCTTTGCATATTAACAGCATGACCCATATTAGGCCCTTTACACTAGGCCAAATGTCTTAACTTAAATTAAAGTTTATGGTTTCAATATGGAAGTGGGGTTGATCTGTAAGTTCTAACTGATCGTATATTCAGCCGTTCTATAATTCACATTGCCTCAAAAGCCTGTCTGTGTTATTATAAAGATGTCTACCAAGGAATTACTAAAGTGCACTTATAAGTAGAGTCCGCTTCTGCTTTGTCGTGTGTGTTGGTGTGTGTGTGTGTGTTGGTGTGTGTGTGTGTGTGTGTGTGTGTGTATAAAAGGGACATCATTGCAGCCAGAAGTCAGAAGGAGTGAAAGTTGTGGTGGAGATGTGATAATGCTATCAGAACGTGCTCGATCATGTTGTTTGTTTAGCCTTCCAACCTGTTTTTCTTCATGTGATCAGAGCCACTGATTCACTGTTCAATTCAAACCGAGGTGTGTCTCTGTCTGGTACCATAAAGGACAATATTACCATTCAGTTCAAAGAAGGAAAAAGGAGGTAATTGCTTATTCACAATGCAGCAAAGATGTGTTCACTGCTACATGTCACAACTGTTTATTCTCTGTACATTATGAACACATGTGAATCAACATGTAAATCTGAATAAAGACTTGTTTTTGTATTTATTCCGAGGTGGTTAATGTGCTTTATGACACGTAGAAGGGATTCATTATCTTAAAGATCAGAGTCCAGTTTTATGATTTATGAGAGAGAACTTGTGTATCTGCTGCAGTGAAGAAAGAAAAATGTCCAGCAAAAACAAAGTCCTCCTTGTAAAGTACATGTTACTTCTCAGGAAAATTGAGGTTCGAGCTCAGGTTTGATAAGAAATAAAGGTTTGGCGCTGACGTGTGCAAGCTGATGCATGTAACAACTGCACGAGAATATCGAGGTTTGTGCGCGGAGTGGAAAATACTGTTTTCGTGTGTGTGGTTTTAGGTTTTTTGTCAGAGCAGATGTTTCATGCACAACTCATTCAGTTTAACCAGAGCACTAACTGCTCTTTCAGTTTCAGTTGCTGTTCTCAGTTCTCACTCTACTTCCTGTTTGTCTCTGAGGCCTCGGTGGACGGCTCACTAGTTGCCTTGACAACTGCTAACCACATGCCATTAGTCATAGTAAGCAGTCTGTCTTTCAGTGTATATAATCCATATATGTATACTATATTTTGCTCTCTTTCACAAGCTTGTATCAACATGGCTGCCCCCCCCCACTCTTTAATCTTCTGGACCACTAACAGTAAGCGTCATCTCAAAAAGTCCCTGCTTGACTTTCTATTCCCTCTAACAAGTTCTTCAAATACTGGAGGAAACAAAAGTAATAGCTACTCTAAAAATGTCCTTAAATATTTTTCAGTGGACAACGTTGAAATGAATCATCTCTTAGAGGTAATTTATCTTGATAGCATGCTCAGCAAAGTCAAAATAAAATCCCCTGCTCTCATTTTCAGGAAAAAAACACAACTTACTAACAAAAAAATTTAAGTGAAACTTATTCATACTTATAATTTAGTCATAGTTTAAATTTGGACACATTTTCCTGAAAGCATTCTACATTTATATAAGCTGTGAAGGTTTGTATTGAGTCAAAGAAGGAAGATAAACTATTCTGCAAACAGGTAAACAGTTCTGCACTGATGTCTCACTTATGACATCTACTGTTGAAAAGTGAAACTGCAGCTTCTGATAAATGTAGGACCAGTTGTATTTTCAATGTTATGCTCATCATTATGTTCACATGTTGAAACAAATGCCGGTGGGGATATTTTTCAAATATTATAGTAGGGCCAGATAAGTATATGAAATCACTATAATTAAGCACAACAGCTGCATTTTCTCAACAGGAATATCATATATGAACACTGTTGTATTTACTGTTTGAAATGATTTTATTCTCCAATAAAGAAATAGTTTTATTTAAAAAATGGTTTGTTTCAGCCTTTTTGTTTATCATTTATTTATTTGAATTTCCTTATACACAATATTACAATACATTGGGCATTGAGACATGATATAAAGGCTGAAGAAGAACGATCCTAACATCCTAACAAAATATAAGAAAATCAGCAAATTATAGCAGAGTCATGAAGCCCCAAAACTTTCAAACACCAAAATAAATTTAAATCAGGAAGAAAAAAAGACCTTCAGTCTAAACTTGGTGCTTTGAAAATGCTGCAGTCTGTCAATTATGACAAACACAATGCAAAGGTGAGAAATTCAAAGGTTTATTTGTCTCATGCACAAGCAATGCTCCTAAGGCTGTGCTAAAAGACTATAAAATGTGAATAATATATACATATACATATGTCACAGTTGTAAAGTTCAAGCATACAAAGTGCAGGGCAGAGCAAATCATTCACAGAAAACAATGTGCGCGAGGTTTTAAAACAGCAGTGCAAGAAGCACTCAGATCTTTTATTTAATCGATGTGGCTTTTCCCCTTCAAAGAGCTCACACATACAGCTGATTGATTCTTTGGTCTTTCAAAGCCAGAAGCTCATCTTTAGCTCTAATGGTCTGCACCTGTGTGCTCCCATTCTTCAGTTCAGTCACAGCTGCTTTTTGTGCCACCAGATAGGATTTGACCTCCTGGATCTGGGCGAGCCTAGCCTTGCTCTGATGGGTCAGCGCTCTGCTGTTGGATCGGATCTGCTGCCACATCAGTCTGCACACTCAAGCTCTCATTTTTTTTATCTTCAACCAGGTCTGAAGACATCTAGTGTACAGTACCCGTGGTCCTGTCGCTTCTGGATCTCCTAGCGACTTGCTCTTTGAGCTTGGACTTTTGTAGAGTTGGACTGATCTTCTCCCAATGCAGCATGATGACCTTCCTCATTTGCAGAGGCTTGTGGAGAGCTGTGTGGTCCTCTTGTTTCTTATGCAACACCTTCTAAAGAACAGCAGCTGAAGATTCTTCTGAGCCAGAGATTTGTCAAGGGTAGCTGTTAATAATTTCTCATTATTAAAGGGTGGCTTCTTCAAGAGTCACCCTGGGCGTGTTTTCCCTTCACAGCTGTCACAGAGCTGAGTACACATTTGAAATTGATACTGAATCAATATTTGGAGCCTAAGAGTGTGCAACATCCAAACAACCCCGAACACAGCAAGCTCATATCATGTCAGCTTGATTAGCTGAGTGGCTAAATTAAAATTAGACTGTTACTAGTTAATGTGATACTACTGTAAACCCCTACCTACTTTCCTACACAAGTGGCAAATATTGGAAATAGACCCATTCTTGCCTCCAGCTTTAAGACACACTGTGACATAGCTTTTTAGCTGCTTAATGCTCCACTGTGCTCAGCAGCTAGCCAGCTCCTTTTAGAGCATTTTGTTGTTGACAGGACCATTCATTTTATAAAGATAGATGACATAACAGCTCCATAAAAGTGAAGCCAAAACATCATGGTCGCCCCCTGGTGGCTAGTTGCAGTATAGGTTATAACCCCCACTGTTCCTCAACACTGCGACTCCAACCCTGATCACCTCTTTGCTGAGTAGACATAGATGATAGTACCAGCACAAGAAGGCAGCGGCCGTACCCGGGATATTTTGGCTTTATTTTTGTACAATAGGAAGGAAGGGAGACGTGTCGTCCATCTTTAAAGTAAAAAGACCAAAACAGTAAAGTTTCAGGTGGATAATTGACTCCTTTCACATACCGGGAGTCATGTGATCCATTGTTGATATGAAAATATGGCTTATAGCAGCTTATTCTACCTATTGGAACTGAAAAACCCATTCCAGCACGCTGTATGGCCAAAATGTGCAAATGTGAACACGTCTGCAGAACTGGACATTTCGCTGCAGTTTCATTTGGTCCCCAGACTTTAAGCTTAGCAGAAGAAGATATACCATTATTCCTTCTACAACATGCTGGGCCACCAATACTCTCCTCTGAATATCAACAAAAGCCTCAGTAAGTCCTACATGACATATCAAAAATGTCTCTAAGCCTGCAGGAATAACATACACTCAGATTGTGTTTTATTTATTCTTGAGAATGCAGATATGAAGACAGAAAAGCTAAAGCCTTCTGGGAGATTTGATCGCAGGCCTGCAGGGGAATGCAAGCTTTCAGAGGAAGGAGCAGCAACAACAATACACAAGAGACAAGGAAATCATACTACTACAGTATGCTGCCACTCCTCTGCTCTCACTTCTTTCCCCTCTTCCTCCCCTTCTACATTTCTTTCTATCATTCTCATAGGAATAAGCTTAAGTGACGTTACAGTAGGTCCTGTGTTACTAGTGGAGGATATATGTGCGTACATACATAATATATACATACAGAATTCATCCAAATCCCTCATTTTACTCAAACCTCCTGCAGTTATTGTGTTCGCTATTTATCAGTTGTTCTGTACTGTCATTGTTATGCATTGAATATAATATGAAATATCAATAAATTATGTCACTTAGTCTGGGTTGTCAGTTTTACTCAAAGTTGTTCATCTGCTAGGATATTGCACTAAAGGAAGCAGGAGAAGAGGTTAGGAAAGAGTGGAAGGAATACGAGGTTAGAGACGGTAAGGAGGGGAATGTAGTAGGAGAGGTGACTTGAGGTCGGATGAGAAGAGTCGGGGACAGAAATGTAATCATTTCTTCAATCTACCCTTACACTCTGAGATTTGTCATGGCTCAGCCACAGATAGGGGCGCAGCACGAGGAGTCTTCCATATCTGATAAATATGCTGAGATAAAAAAGATCTACTGTATGTGTCACCATACTTTCAATGCCTTTTTTTTTTTTTACAGTGTTTCCAGGAGAGCAGTCAAATTCCACCCAGTGTGGGCTGCTTTCCCCGTTTGTTCTATAAAGTGGAAAATGCAGAGGTACAGATGTATATAGACACGCAAGAGGGGATTCAGGAGTCAAGTAATCTTCTACATTTTTCCACAGGGCTGTATGAGTCTCCTGCACATAATAAATAACACCAAGTTCCTCTCTGAATTACAGGTACAATGTGTTCAGTGCTGCTCTGATGTGATGCTGTAATAATGGAAAAAACCTATTATGGTTTTTGGAATTCTTGCAGAAAAATAGCTTTGTAGACATTTCAGAACTAAGTGGTGCAAAACCTTTCAGTTTTATGTCCAACCGGGGCCTGGCGTGTACCTCTTTCTCTGAAGATACACTGAGACATTCAGTGTGCCTGCTGAAAGTTAAAAACATTTCATCACAGTTCATGACATGCAGCAGCCGTGGCTAGAGTAGTAGCTTGTTGTGCCCCAGGGCAAAAATAAGCTGTTGGGCCCCTGTTGATCCAGCTCCACCCACAGCCGTGTGTGTGTGTTGTGTATGTTGCATCCAAGTTCCTATTATGCACAGTGCACCGAGTAGATTACAGCTTCATTATAGACCCAGAGATCGGCCAGTACCAACTAGTCCTCTGGTTTAAACAACACAAAATGTTGTAACTGTCTTTTAGATAGGCTCATACACTGTAATGAAATAATAATAATAATAATAATGTAATGAAAAAAGTTTTTTTAACTGTTGAATTGTTGAAATGGATCACATTGAACATTTGAAGTAACATAAACTCAGTTTTGGAAGTTAAAAAAGATTCTTCATAAGCCAGTTTTTGCTAGTATTTTAGGTGAAAAATTAAGTACTTTTTAAA